TTGTATCTGTTCTGGAACGGGTTCTGGTTGAGGCTCTTCTAAGACTTGTTCTATATGCTCAGTCATGTCATCATCAACATCATGAACAGTAATAGCCGGTTCTATTATGGGCATGGATTGGTTTAATACATCTTCATGCTCAGTAGAGGAATCTAGTTTATATTCGGGATATATCATCCAATTATCCATATTCTCCTTAATATCTAATGAATCTTGCAAATTGTCATCTTCATTGAACAATTCATCATAGAATATAGCTTTGTTGGTTTCAAATATCCTTTGGCCTCTACTAGGGTTGTAAAATTTATACCCTTTGGATTTTTCAGAATATCCTATAAAATAGGCTGATAGAGATCTTGAATCCAATTTGCTTAATTGATCCACATGATATTCTCTAGTTTCAGCCTTACAACCCCATACATGAAAATGATTTAAACTAGGCTTATAGCCATGCCATTGCTCAAAAGGAGTACCTGTTATGGCCTTTGTAGGGGATCTATTGCAGATATAGTTTGCTGTCTTCAGTGCTTCTCCCCATAAAAWTTTTGGTAGGTTTGATCTTGCAAACATGCTTCTTACCATGTTCATCAATGTCCTATTCTTTCTTTCTGAAACACCATTCTGTGTTGGAGTATATGGTGTGGTGTATTGAGCCTTGATACCACATTGTTCTAAATAAATGGCAAAAGGACCTTTATGTTGTCCCTTTTCAGAGTATTTCCCAAAATACTCTCCACCTCTATCGGACCTTACAACTTTTATGTCCTTTTCATTCTGCCTTTCCACTTCTGTTTTAAACTTTATAAAACAGTCCAATACTTGTGATTTTTCTGCCATAAGGTATACATGGCAGAATCTTGAATAGTCATCAGTGAATGTGACAAAATATTTATTTCCACATATGGTTTCTATWGGAAATGGTCCACATATGTCTGTGTGAATAAGTTCAAGTATGCAACAGCTTCTTCTAGAATTAAAGCTTCTTGAATTTGTCATTTTTCCTTTTAAACAATCCACACAGGTTCCAAAATCACTAAAGTCCAATTCCGGCAAAATATTTTGCCTAATCAGCTCTTGCATTCTGAATTTAGAAATATGTCCTAACCTTTTATGCCATAAAAAGGAAGATAGATTTTGTTTGAACTTTCTTTTTACTCCTGTTATGTTATTTATTGAATATATTGTTCTTTTGCAGCTTTTGTTAAAAGATTCATTTATGCAATTCATATGCCAATAACCATATATTAAATTTGCATTTCCAAAACAGAAATCATCAATGTAAAACAACGTTTTATCTTTGTTGGCATAAAAGCTAACATTATTATCCAATACAAGTTGAGAACCCGATATAAGGTTTCTCTTTATTTTAGGAATATAATATACATTGTTTAATGTAAGTACATAATTATTCTTAAACAAGAGCTTGCATTCTCCCATAGCTTGAACCTTGAGTGCTTGACCATTTGYTGTACATATCTTGGATTCATTCAATCTTGGAATTGTTATCTTTGACAATCCCTGCATTGAATTCACAATATGTATTGGTGAGGCAGTATCAAACCACCATGAATTGCCACAATCATGATCAAAAGGTTCTAAAGAAAAGAAATGACCATAAGTACCTTTCTTATTCAGCCATTCTTTAAATCCCTCACACTCCTTCTTGAAATGTCCCCTTTTCTTGCAGAAAAAACATTTCAGTTCCTTTTGATTCTTTGAGAACTTTCCTTTGGTCTTATCATTTTTGACAGAATAGTTGGAAGATTTTCCCTTTTGTGATCTTGGGTGTTTCTTATCCTTAAATTTTTCCAYATGATTTACAGCCACTGCCTTTCCTTTGTTTTTGATCTCGGATTCTTCCTGGACACATATGGAGATCAATTCATCTAAGGTCCATTTCTCCTTTTGAGTATTATACAGGCTTCTTAAGTGGCTATATTGATCAGGCAATGAGTTTAACAACAGATGGACAAGAAATGAATTATCAATTTCAATTTTCATCTCTTTGAGTTTGCAGGAGGTATCAATTCCTTGCAGAATGTACTCCTTGATGCTTCCCTGTCCATTGTAGCTCATTCTGATTAATTTATTCAYGAGGTACCCAGTTTCTGCTTTATCAGATACCTTGTATTTGTCTCCAATCGAAGCAAAATAAGTTTTAGCGAGATCGGAGTCTGGTATTCCTCCCTTTACTGCATCAGTCATGCATTTCTTMATGTAAATCAGGGCTATTCTATTGTGCTTATGCCACTCTTGATGTTTGGCTTTAATTTCCCTTGAAGCATCATTTGCAGGTTCTGCTGGTGGGTCTTCTCTTAGAACGTGATCATAATCTAAGATTCCCAGGTTTAATTCAATGTCTTCTTTCCACTTCTTATAATTTACACCATTTAATGGTGCAAAATTGACAATACTCAKAGGATGCTGTCCTGCATCACCATGTATGTGTATAYACATAATTGTCTAATTAGTTATTGATAGTTCGTCCCAAAAATTGCTATATTTATTGAATTTACATGTGTTGTGCATTGTATTAATCTGTTTGAAACAGTTCTGCACGTATGTATAAATTCAATCTGAACAAAGGATGAGAATCTGWGTTAGTCTGACTTCTGTGGAAGTATCAAAACTCAGAATCGCATATATTAAATAAGATAAGAATCTGAATTAGTCCGACTTCTGTGGAAGCATCAAGAACTCAGAATCTTATCTTTGATCAATATCTATGCTATATAAAAACTGTTGTGACAGTATGTTATAGTCATAAATATTGGATTATTGCAGTTTCTTAATCTGCAAATATCATTTCTTTCCTTGACTATTTTGATAGTACTTGAATTACRTTCATCCATATTCACTTTGATGACATGTGGATGGTTCTTTAAGTAGCCTAATCAAATCTTTGAGCGTGATTCTTATGGTAATGATGAACACAGAATATGTGATTCTGATTGTTCTTGAGAATTAATTAAGACTGCTTATGATTTTAATGTCAATAATTCAATCTGATAGGATAGTGGCTCTGATACCAATTGTTACACTTTTGTTTTCCATAAAACAGTAAATCCATCAGATTGTGAATCTATTGATCTAAAGCAATATGATTAAACACTAACCTTGACCAGAAGATGTAGATGCTGTGTTCTGATTTTGTTCCATGTTCTTCTGCAGATACACACTGGAGTACTCCTCTGGATGGGACAGAWACAGAGTCCTTTTTGTGTTCTTGCGGGAGAATGAAACACCAGGATTGACTTCTGTATTTTAATCTCAAAATGGCGCCACAAGGGATGTAACGGTTCCTTCCATCAAGGAACAGGTATTAACTGTCAATCCTTAACTGCATCTCATAACTACCTATTTATACCATATATTAAATAGAGTTAATGAACATAAATACAAATACGTATGTTAGCTTGATGCTGAAAACAGATAATGGTATGAATGTTAATGATTATTCCTTATAACTATATCTTGTTCTTATCTATTCTAACAATTAAAACTAAAAAAAGTTAGAACAAACAAACTGATTTGATATATTCTATTTTGATACATTCATTTGTACAAACCTCATTCAGCCAATCATAATTTTCTTTTCACTTATTTAATTATGAGGGTTGATTAGTCATTTTTATTGTGGAGGACGTTAGCTATGGACATTATCAACTTCGTTACATTAATTTTAGAAAACAAATTTCATAAAAATGAAAAATACATGAAACCGTTTCATTTTTATGTAGAAACAAGAACATATGAAACAAGTTCATTACATTAAGCAATTTTATTTAATTAAACAATGAAATCGACGGTTTATACAGCTTGTATAAATGAATTGGTTTGCATTTGATCTCTCCCCTAATAATATGTGTGTATATATATACATATTTATTTATTTATACACACATTAGGGTACTATTCAAGAGAGAACTCAGTAATTTATGACCACAAATCAAAGATTAAATTAGAAAATTAATAATTATGATGATTTTAATTTAAAATATTAATTAAGAGCATTTTTGAGATTTTAGAAATCTCATCTCTCCCCTCTCCGGCGAACTTTATTCCAGCAAACCTTATTTCGACGAACCTTATGTTAACATAATATACACACTGTGATACCTAAAAAAATATTGTTAGCAAAATACATATACAAACGATATTCACTGTGATACCCACGCATACACACAAGATACGCACTGTGATACATTTGTAAAGCAACTAAAAAAAAAAAAAAACATATCGTAATATCCTTTCTAAAACAATGAAAATAATTTATTAATGCATACTATGATACACTCTGTAAAACAACAAAAATACATTGTGATACATTATGAACATTATCACCGTGTATGATACACTTTGATCCACAGACATCTTTAAAAGACAATATACATATTACGTAATTAAAATGAATAATATGTTTCCTTAAAAAAATTAATTAAATCTTTTGATGAATTGCTATATATAAAATTACTAAATAACCATTTTAACTTATTTAAAAAATATTTTTAAATATCAAATGAGTGGTTTACATTGGATCTCACGGTTATCACAAATGATATAATTCTCATTTGATTAAGTCCCTACTATATACATATATTAAAAAATAAAAAAAATAATATAAATCCGATCTGTTTCGGTTATGAAAATAAATTTGTCTCCACCCCGTTAAGGTCCCATACCCATGGGTATCCGCTCCAATAGGTAATATCGGTGAGAAGGGATCTCCACCGTTGATCCGTCCTACTCAAATAGAACCGTTAGATTAATTCTTTACTAAAACATAATTCATATGTTGTTTTCAGATTAAGAGACTGTTTGGCAGTTGCTGAACGATTTGGTGCAGAATAATTAAATTGTCAGAATGATTAAGATGCTTTTATAATGTAATGTAAAATAATATAATTGTAATTAACTATAATAAGAGGAAAATAATAGAAAATATTATTTTGGTATTGAAACGAAGACGGAGAATTTGGTGTTTTTCCGAAATCCAAATCACCGTCCCCAAGTATTTGAGAACACTAATCAGTGGACGTACTCATCTCCATCGCCGATCTCCGTCTCCGACGCTCCTCTCCGACGATCTTCTGCTAGATCTCTGCGATCAGGTAATTTTTTTATATAACTCTGTTGGCGAGACTAGCGATGTGTGCTTGATTTCATTCTTGCTCAATTCTTAACGAGATTCAATATTTGCTCCGAATCGTGTTGCTTAACCTACGGTTAATTGGCTTAAATCTTCTTAATTTGGTTTTACTGTTGAAGATCAGGACCTTCAGGTTTAGGTATATAGAATTGACCACTTGTAACATGCCAAATTTGATTTTATTGGGCGTAGTCTACTCGCCGTGCATGTGTGTAGCCCTTTAATTAATACTGATTCAGCTATTAAATCTGTTTGTTTGCTATGGATGCAAAGCTAATGTCAGATGAAGTATATCAATAAGCTACTGTTTTTGTGACTTCATCTTATCAGTGGCAAGGAAAATTACCTTTGAGTTGGGTTTGAAGCTTGCTTAGTTTAGAAAGGGAAGTTATTTGGTCTTTTAATGTGAAGGCATGGATTCTTTCGTTCCATGTTTAGGTACATGGTTAACTGACCACTGTTTCATGCCAGTTTTTACATTCCAGTATCTAGTTATGCCTGTTTGCATCTTATAAAAGTTGATTTGGTGTCAACTTGTAACTAATTGATACGGCTTAACAACCAATGTCTGATGATATCAATAGATTGTCTATAACAGCATTATGTGATTGTCTTTTGTTAGTGTTTCGAGCGATGGTGTTTGAGTTGTAACTGAAGCTCATTTGGTTGAAAAGTGTACCGAGTATATTGAATTACAATTCTAAAGTATGGGTTCTTTGATCCCATGTAACATTATTAGTTTGTAATTAGTGGCAATACTTTTTTCGTTATGATTTAACATCTTTTGATTTCATAAATTGATCGGTACAAATTATTAACATATTAACATCCTTTGATTTCCTAAATAAATCAGAATCTATTGTGTAAGGTGCTTGATCAAAATTCTAGTGATGAATTCCTTGGAAGGTTATATAAATTTGCATTCAGTGTTCTTGTGTAGTAGCCCCTTGTATTTTTGTTGAAAAGCTAAAGCATATATAGGTATTCGACATGTACGATTTGTGCTCCAAAGTATTGAGTTCAGACACAACTTAAAAACTTAGACGAGAATAAATTCTTATCTCCTTGATTAAAACCATGGGGTTTGTCCAATTTATATATCAGGGGATAGAACACACATTTACCCCGAGTGCACTTGCCCTTTCTTTTAACATTGCACTCAACCAGCTGACCCGCAGGGGGTGGGTGTCCGTATATTACTGAAACTTCTAGGTTTGTCATGCATTAGGATTTTACTTTGCCACGTTTCTCAGTGGATAGAATTGGGTTTATGCATGTTCCCCTTCACCCGCTTTGGCTTACTCCAAAAGGAGAGGGCGGCTATAGGAATGTCATTTGATATTATCTATTTTATCCAACACAGGTGCTATAAGTTTCTAGCTCTTCTTATTTTCCCTGGCAACGTAATAAGATTTCTCTATTGGGGATAAAGTAGTGGAACTCCTTTATCAATATCACTATAAAGCCTTTTTATTGATGATACTTGTTGACAATCTTCTGAAAGATATCAACAAGATGAGCCATGCTTTCTGTTCTTGATAATACTTGTTGTTGTTTCATGTTGATGCTTAAAGTATTTTGAAGAAGCACCTAAAGAAGAAGAAGAGAAGAAGAAGAAGAGAAGAAAAAGAGAAAGAGAAGACATCCTTATTCACAAGTGAATAGGAAGTTAGTACAGTGATTGTTCTATTCTTATTATACTGTTTGAAAGTTAACCATGACCATGTGTCCACATAGGCCGTTAGCAGAAAAGGTGAATGAAGAAAAGTTGGACGAGCAAAAGATACAATATGCATTACGTACTTTTGAATTAATCTGATGGATGTTAGAACAGTGAATGGGCCTAAGCCCATGCTAGTCTATGCCAGGCACAATCATAGGAGTTATATCAAGGGATATATATGTATATATCTATGCGGCAACCGTATCAGGAAAAATAACAACTATCACGGTATCACCGTATTATCTATATGGTAATCATATTATTGAAAAGTAACAACTATATTGTTACCATATTTATGTATATGGTAACTACATTATTACCACATTTGAAAAGGATTTAGGAGAAGAAAGAAGCATGCTTGATTTGGTTATAATTCATCAATACCACATCAAGTGTCAAGGGAGAGAACCTGCCTCTTGGAAGTAGGTAACTTTGTATTGGTATTATGTTGTTTGATTAATGAAATCATTGCTATGTCTTATCAAATATAAATGCATAACAACATTAGTAGTACATATAAGCACACAATGACACAACCATATGGTGAAATGATCATCTAAACTGGAAATTCTCAGATGTTTGCCATATGAAAGAAGAGGACAAATGGTTGAATTTCTAGGATGGGGGTTTTGTCTTAAATGCCTTTATCATCTATAGGTATATGTGAGTGTCTATGTTGTTGTGTGCATATACCTACACTGTTTTGAATTGGTCGCATTGCACTGTAGCAGAAATTTGTACATTTTGCTTTTGGCTTTATCCACAATGATGTGCTTCAAATTCTGTGTTCTGGCAGATCATTTACGGGACTTCAGCAATAACGTGATAAGTGTGAGAGGTGCGAGCTATGGGGACTGAAAATCCCAACCATGCAAATAACTATCCAAGGCCATCTGCTCCACCTTTTGCCCGTCAAAGCAACACACTTTTTTCATCATCTCGTTCCGTGGTTGCATCGCAGGCCGCTCCTTTCAGGCCAACATCAGTCCCTGCTCCTCTGAGTTCAGTGCCTGCTCCCCCAAGTACAGCTCCATCTTTGCCTTTTGGGACTGTGGTTGGATCAGCGGTTCCTGGTTTTAGACCCATGCAAACAGGTAGGCCTACTGCTCCATATGGCCCACCAACCACCGGACCTTTCCAGCGCTTCCCAACGGCGCCGTACCTTTCAACACCTCAAGCACCTCCACCACACACTTCTCCTGTTGGACAGCCCGTATTGCCTCCAACAATGAGACCTCCTCCTCCAAGTCAGGTTTCACCCATGCCAACTTTCCAAAATCGTCAACCCCATATACAACCTATGCCTATGGGTTCTCCACCTCCAAGCATGAACGGTGTGCTTTCTAGCAATAATGCTCCTCAGTTGGTAAATTCACAGTATTTTTCGTCCAGTTCAAATATGCAGCGACCGCAACCTCCAATGGGGCCATCTCATCCTGATGCTGTCCGGGCCTCCTCATCATCTGCTTGGCCTGGCTATCCGGGTATACAGAGTAGCACAGCAACACCAGCAGCACCTGTTTCTCATCAAGGAGGTTATGCTCCACCTCCGCCCACCACATCTGCCCCCTTCTCCTCTCAAGGTGGTTATGGACCAGCTCCACCCGTTGCATCTCCTCTAGGAATGTATGTAGGAGGCTCCACACCTCCAACAGGAGTTATGCCAGGATTGGTAGAAGACTTCAGCTCACTTTCTATCGGGTCAGTCCCAGGATCTTTTGATGCTGGGCTTGACACTAAAGTTTTGCCAAGACCACTGGATGGTGATGTGGAACCAAGTTCTTTTACTCAGATGTATCCCATGAACTGCAATTCTAGATATCTGCGGCTTACAACTAGTGCCATACCAAATTCTCAGTCTCTGGTTTCAAGGTGGCACTTGCCTCTTGGAGCAGTTGTTTGTCCACTGGCAGAAGCTCCTGAAGGGGTGAGCATATACAGTCAGAGCAATTACAATGAATATACAATTTAGGTTCAACAAAACACTTAGACCAACTATTTTGGGATAAAAGGCTTGTTATATCTTAAGAAACAGTTTTATTTACTTTTGAACTTTTTCAGGAGGAAGTGCCAATTGTTAATTTTGCAACAACAGGCATTGTGCGGTGTAGAAGATGTCGTACATATGTGAACCCATATGTGACTTTTACTGATAGTGGAAGAAAGTGGCGATGCAATATCTGTGCTTTGCTCAATGATGGTAATGCTTTAAATCCATTTTAGAATTATGATGTGGACTGTCTGCAATTGGAAGTGACAGGTTTAGCAAAACTCCTTTGACAGTATATCATCACATAGAGTTCCCTTTTGTTAATTGAGGTTTCTTAGATGATCTTTTTGATGTTCGCCAGTTGTCACTACCTCTTTCCCATATGTTGTTTTCCGAAGAGTACTGTATTTGTTGTGAGTTCTGAACTTGTTATCTTTGATGCTGTTTTCTAGTTTTGACTCACAACAGCTATTTCATACCCATATATATGTTGCATATGGACTTCAATAACTTAATGTAACTTCCTTGCTGTTGCTGTTGTTATAGTTACATTTGTAGTGTTTCTATATTTGGCATGAAGTTTGACTCCTAGAACTGATATTGCTGTTACTCTTGTCTGAGTGGGTGAGTACTGTGTCAAGTGTCAACCATTGTAACTAGTGACCATTGCATGTAAATGAGATCATCTGCTCCTGTCAATTTGGAAGCTTTCTTCTGTGCCTGGGAAATGGTGTTAATAATATAAACACACTTTTACATTATTTAGGGAAGAACCATACAGGTCTTCTGCTTAATATTTTTGTTCATGTTCCAACCATTTGGGTCTTTCTGTCCAGGTGCAGGTAGTCCGCATTTTCATTTGTTTTCATTTATATATTAGTTTTAAAGCAAGAACCATTTGCTATTGAATTTCATATTGGATAGTGGATACACATCTTACATCAACCACTTCTTCAGCCGTGCTAATCAATTTCTACCATAATTGTACAGTACAAAATGATTATTTCGCTCACTTGGACGCCTCTGGGAAAAGAGTTGATTTAGATCAACGCCCTGAGCTTACAAATGGTTGTGTGGAATTTGTTGCTCCAGCTGAATACATGGTGCGGCCACCTATGCCACCGCTATATTTTTTCTTGATCGATGTATCCATATACTCCATTCAAAGTGGAATGCTTGAGGTACCCTTCTCCTGGAATATGGCTTGGCAAATCATACCTGTTGTAATCCTGACATGTATGTATTATTCAAGGCTTGTGCAAATTATTATTATTAATTGTACTTAATGATGTGAAATGGTGCAACTTATCTGTTACCTCAGTTCTCCACTGGAACTGTGATCTATGCATATGATATGAAAGGCCAACTGTATTACAAGTTAATATAGTTTATATGAATATCAGAATAAGTACATTTTGTTTGCATATAACATTGTTTTGAGGGTGAGAACCCTCAAATCACAAATTAACATATTTTGTGATCCATTGTGAAACGAGAACCTGGGATAATGAATTGTGCCTGAATTAACAAGGTTTGAAGAGAATTAAGAAACATGTTTAATGAGTATAAAACATTTGATTCAAAGATCTTATAGACTTATCAGATTAAGCACTTTTTGTCTGCATTTACAGCATTGTGTTGTGAGTGACAACCCTTGAATTGCTAATCAAGCCATATCGTGAAACTGTACTGTGTATTGGAAAGCACTCAAACATGAGCTGTGACCTTAATTTGTAAGGTTTGGGGAAAATTAAAAGCATGTTTAAGCATATCCAACCATGTGAAGCACACAATTATTAAGACAGAAAATCAAATTGAGGTGATGTACTAGCATGACAGTACCCAATAACCTCCATAACTGAAACTTTAAGTAGCTTCTTTAGTGTCAAAATACCAAAAACATTCCGATAGGCAAGTGCGGCTAGATCCTTAAATAATTCAAACTTCAAAGATATTGTGTCACCGCCATCAGGTAAATGTGAAGGACCAAAAGTGAAGAAGACTAGAGTTTGATGATTAGAAAGTCATGAAGAACTTGAATACTAGAAGACTTAAAAAGAAATGCAGCAGCCCTCTACTCTTTTTTTGTTCATTTCTTTTGGCTTTGAAATTCTTACGCTGTTGAAAGGAAGGTCAAAATTGGTGACGGGTTTAATGGTTTTTTCCTCTGGTAGTGGCTTGAAACCCAAACTGAACACACAACAATGGAATCACGCACGATCATGACTCACTGTGATTCACCAATTCAGATACCGTATACTTTCAGATTTTTATTATTCTATTAGATCTTTGGTAATCTTATAATTCAAGTAGGCAGTTACATTCTAACAACCACATGGTTGATGAGATTACCGTCTTCAGATGTTCTTGATAACATATCTGTGGGGTTTTCTATGATTTAAATAACTAATTCATGGATGTATGACCATTTAGCATATCAAACAAAAACAAAAAAAAATTCAGCAACTCTGATTCTACCCATGATGCATTATGCCTTTGAATTAATGTTTATAAATGGCCTTACCTGTATAGTCTATATGTTATGAACTTGGTTTACATCTTGAAGTGTATGTATTCATTACTCTTTGGCTCTGCTAGTTATTGCTCCTCTCTTTGATCTTTTAGGTGATTGCACAAACTATCAAATCTTGTTTGGATAGATTGCCAGGCAACCCCAGAACACAGATCGGGTTCATAACTTTCGACAGCACAATTCATTTTTACAATATGAAGGCAAGTGATTTAGAGACTTATTGGCCATAAAACATGCTGTCATTTCTCTAATATATTGCTAACTAATGTTGAACCACTTCTTTTGTATTGCCAGTCGTCTTTGACACAACCACAAATGATGGTGGTCTCTGATTTGGATGATATATTTATTCCGTTGCCAGATGATCTCCTTGTCAACTTGTCAGAATCTAGAACTGTGGTGGATGCATTCCTGGATAGCCTGCCTTCCATGTTTCAGGACAACGTGAACGTGGAATCTGCTTTTGGGCCAGCCCTTAAAGCAGCTTTCATGGTTATGGTAAGTTTCTTCAGTTCTACACAACTTGAATTTGTGACATTATATCAACCATCATAAACTTGCTTGTATGATATGATGTTTCTTATGATGGTAATTCTGATATATATCTATATTTGGTTGGCTACGTGGACATTGATAGTTGGCATCATATAATTTCTTTGACGCAGAGCCAACTGGGAGGGAAATTGTTAATTTTCCAGAGTACTCTTCCATCACTTGGTGTCGGTCGGTTAAGGTTGCGAGGAGATGATATCCGTGCATATGGAACAGATAAGGAGCATGCTTTAAGGATACCAGAAGACCCGTTTTATAAACAGATGGCTGCTGATTTTACCAAGTACCAGGTTGCAGTGAATGTTTATGCATTCAGTGACAAATATACTGATATAGCTTCCCTAGGTATGTTCTGATGGTGAACTTCATTCTACAATACACATACCCTTAACTGGAAGGCTATGCTTAACCTAACTTGACTGATGTGCTTTCCTTTTATTTTATTGGATCCTTGTTCTGATTTGGTGGTGATGGTACCCCATCTATGTCATGTCTCTTTCTTCAGACATGTAAAAGTTATACAAATATCGTTTTATTGAAGTTTAACAGACCATAAAACTACTCCATGGTCCTTGATAAACACTGAACTTGTTTCTCCTTTTTGATGTATATCATTCTGTGAATTCAGTGGGTCACAAATTTATCTCTTATGCCATTTTATTAACCTTTGAAGTTTTTTGTTTTTGAAGTTATGTACCGATAATTGTTACCTCCTGGTTGCACTTCCAGCTGAAGCAATTTCTTGTCTTCAGATGACGAATAATACATTTATTACTTTCCACCTTAGGTACCTTGGCAAAATATACAGGTGGTCAAGTCTATTACTATCCAAGCTTTCATTCTGCCATCCACAAAGACAAACTGAGGCATGAGTTGGCTAGAGACCTCACTAGAGAAACTGCTTGGGAAGCTGTAATGCGTATCAGATGTGGGAAAGGTTGGTCTTATTTACCCTGAGGCTACATAAAATGCTACTTGCGTATTCTCATCCTAGTAAGGTGATTTTGCAGGTGATTATCTTGTTTTTCATTTTCCATAGAAATCTAATTTTTTAGTTCTTTTCTATAGGGGTGCGTTTCACTTCGTATCATGGGAATTTCATGTTAAGATCCACTGATCTATTAGCACTTCCCGCTGTTGACTGCGACAAAGCTTATGCAATGCAGTTTGCTCTTGAAGAGACGTTGCTTACCACTCAGATTGTGTATTTTCAAGTTGCTTTATTGTATCCTTCACTTATTTTGAGTTCCCAGATTTTTCTTTTCAATTCTGTGTTTGAGGTTTGCTTAATTTATTATCCCATCCGATGCTTCTTCAACATGTGTTCTTTGTGGCACATTCTTTTACCAATTTCCAAAGTCTAAATGTCTTTCTTTTCGTATTCGAACTTTCAGTTTTTGTCATAAACAGTATGCTCCTTGAGTAACATACAGTATTTCTTTCATCTGACTTGCTACTTTTATGAGAAGTCCTTCTTAGGAATGAAACTGGAGCCGTTTATTAAACACTTACCTTGGTAAGCGCTTACTGGTTTAATTGCCTTACCGGGTAAACATGACAAGGACCGAGAATCTTACCTGGTAAGAGGGAAGGCAAGGATCGAGAGTCTTACCCAGTAAGCGAGGGTGATGACTCTTACCCGGTAAGCGAGGGTGATGACTCTTACCCGGTAAGCGAGGGTGATGACTCTTACCCGGTAAGCGAGGGTGATGACTCTTACCGTAAGCGCTTACCGGGTTATACACGCTTACCATCATTCCATTTTGATGGCAAGGAACGTTACCAACTAAGGCCACATAAGGTAAGTGAGAGTAGTGACTCTTGCCGGTAAGCGTTTGGTAAAAGGCCCCTGAATCTCAACATCAAATGTTACTCCACTTTTTACTTTATTTTGTGCGACAAAAAACTTCTTCCTGCTGTTGATGTTTTCACTTGGTTATTATCAAACATGCATACTTCTTCGGTGGTTTGCAATTCTGCATTTCTGGTTCATATTAAAAATTAAAATCTATATTACTATTTCAGCGTGATTGTTAATTTGGGCAGGAATATCACTTGCACATATCTGCCTCACAATCTAGTTGATTTTTGATAAATTTTTGTGAATACTTAACAATTAAAAGACACACCTCATCTTCCGGTGAAAGACGTATTAGAGTACACACTGCTGCAGCGTCAGTGGTTGCTGATTTAGGAGAGATGTACCGTCAGGCAGATACTGGTGCCGTTGTTTCGTTGCTTGGTAGATTAGGTAAGAAGATCTCCCTTTTTCTTCCAAAATGAAGTAATCTGGTTGCATATTTATATATCAAGGATTTCAATTATATGCAGCTATAGAAAAATCTTTGTCCTACAAACTGGAAGAGGCTCGTAATGCTATTCAACTGAGAATTGTCAAAGCCCTTAAAGAATATCGTAATCTCTATGCGGTACAGCACCGTGTAGGAACAAGGATGATTTATCCAGAATCGCTGAAATATTTACCCCTATATGGGTTGGCTCTATGTAAATCAACAGCCCTTCGTGGTGGATATGCTGATTCACAGCTTGATGAACGCTGTGCAGCCGGTTTCACCATGATGGCTTTGCCTGTTAAAAAGATGTTAAAGCTTTTGTATCCTAGCTTGCTACGTGTAGATGAATATCTTGTGAAGGTAAACCCGTTTATCACATTATGAGTTTCTCAATCCTGCTTTTCCCATTCTGATGTCAGGGAGTTACATGTGTTTATATGCAGTCATCTACACAGGCGGATGAGTTTGAGAAACTTTGTAAAAGACTGCCACTTGCTGCAGAGAGCTTAGATTCTAGAGGAATTTTTGTATATGACGATGGTTTCCGTTTGGTTGTTTGGTTTGGCCAAATGCTTTCGCCTGATATATCCAGGAATCTCGTTGGGGAAGATTTTGCTACGGACTTCTCGAGGGTATGATCCTTCCTCTACCAATCTAGGTTTTATGCATCATGCAGACTCCCCACTCATTGACTATTGGAATATTTAAATACTTAAGCATGCGCATTTTCAAGCATACACACATATATCTTCATGCATATACATAATATACACACATACATAGGGTCAGGTTCATGGGAAAACCGCAAAAACAAATGAAAAACTGAGGAACACCATAGCAACCATTCATCTGTACGGTATGCACATGTGCATACAAGTAATTTGTAAGTAGTTTTTCTGGTATGCACATGTGCATTAAATGCAGTAAACATCTTCAATTACTTGTATATACATGTGCATACCTACAAATGAACGGTTACTAGAGTATTCCTCAGTTTTTCATTTTTTGGGGGGTGGTTTTACCTGAACCTCATTCTATATACCTATATGTGTAACACATTATATTGTGGTAGAATCTTTTACATGCGTATAAAATTAAAATGGAATAATATGCAAACATGCTTTCTTGCTCTATGTATTAGAATCTTTTACAGTTCACAGTGCTGTTAATATTGGTTTGTGGAAAGAGATGGAAAATATGCATGTGTTGCTGAGAGGTGTTGGCTATGACTAACATGCTCATCAATCTCCCTACTGTTTCATAAATCCCCTAATACAAAGAAAAAAATTGGTTGGTGAAAAGAGGGAGGGAGGGAGGAGGGGGGAAGAATGAGACTTGAATGGATGCCTTGCACTGGAAAGTGAGAACTTTGTTCTCTTTCTGGTGTGTCTGTGACGAATCAAGGTGTCTAGAGGAATTCGTTATTAAATGTTTAGGATTATATTGTCGTTAAAACTACTTCCTCCGTCTCAAAATAAGTGGCCACATTTCTATTTATGTTTATTCTGGAACAAGTGTCCACCTAGATAGTCATAATTTCCAATTATACCCTTGATTATGGCACATGAAATTTAAGTGTTGATGAATTGGAGAATTTCATTAGTGGAATAATTATACATTTTTAAAACTGTGTGATTTTTTTATCAAGGGTAAAATTGTCACTTGTTTAACTAAAAGTGTAATAATTATATATCTTCCTAAAACTGTGTATTTTCATTGCGGACATTTTTTTTGGTATGGAGGGAGGACAATACACTCTAGCTAATACAATGTACGAGTACGTCATTGAATAAGCTATTTGAACACTGTTGCTATAGCTTATGATCTTTATTGATTATAATTACTGTTTTGAGAATCAGGTAAGTCTCGTTGAACGTGAGAACGAAATGTCAAGAAAGCTGATGGCGATACTAATGAAACTTAGAGGGGCTGATGCATCATATTATCCTTTATGTCATCTTGTGAGACAAGGTGAACAGCCTCGGGAAGGTTTCTTTTTACTTTCAAATCTAGTTGAGGACCAAGTTGGTGGTATGAACGGCTACGTTGACTGGATACTTCAGATACATCGGCAAGTCCAGCAATAATGTGTAATATGCAGGTAATTTCCATTTAATCTTCTGATCTTTTTTGAATTATATAATACTTATATACGGTAAAACTCACACACTTCTCACCTGTAGTGTGGTTTTAATCCTTGACCTCCATGGAGGCTGGGATCTGCCGTTAACCCTGATACTGCTGGGCCATTGACCCTTTTGGTTTTAAATTCTGATTTGTTGATAAATCTACCCAAAAGATTGAAATTATGCTTTCATAACTAGCATTATATACCTAGGGGCGGATTCAGTAATAGGCTAGGGGGTCCCTGCCCCCGCTCTATCATCCCAGTGCAAGTGGCTCTCCTAAGTTAATAAAAACTTTTAGGGGTCTTAAATGTGCACCCGCTTTAATTTGACTTGTGCTCTCTTAAGTTAACAAAAAGTCACTTGCATGTTGCAAGCTTGAATCATGTTTCCTTTTAAAAAAAAAATCCTTGGTAACAGTAAAAAGGAAAGAAAAAAACCACTTGGTCGTTGCAAAAAAAAAAAAAAAAAACCAAATATATGTTATTGTCAATTAAACCGTATTTTTTATGATTAAATCATCATTTATCTTACATTATATTAATTATTATGTGCTCGGCTCGGAAACTTTTCTGCATTCACCTTTTGTATATACCAACACCTGAGTTCTCGTGTCTTTTTAGAGGTAGAATACGTATTGAATTGGAGTACAAAATTTAGAAACATATGGGTTTCACGTGCACATGAAGCATTTTGTTGAAGTATATAATATTTATATACGACAAATATTCACATGCCCACGCTTCACCTTTGATGAGATTTGAACCTTTAACCTCTTAGAAGGCTACACTCTACCGGTAACCTATACACTGTTAGGCCAATGACCCTTTGGTTTCGTTTAGAAACTTTTGTTCATTCTCTTTTACGTCTTCCGTTTATAATTCTAAAACTCAATTTTTAACATTTTGACTTGTGCCAGGGGACACCATTGGTCTCATTTTTCTCCACTGCTGGTATCAAATTCAGATGCTGGTTCTTTGAGCAGATGAAAATGGGTTTTTGTTTGATTGAGCATTGCTTTGCTAAATTGTGGTTTAGAACTTCCACACGAGAAAATGGGGGTTGTTGCTTCATAGACTAGTGTCATATACCTTTTATTTTTGTTGCAAAAATTATTTCTAGTTTTCCTTTGTATTTTTTTGGTCAATTTTACCCCTTTATAGATTTTCTGTATTATGATTTGTTTTAGGCAACTTTTTAAGGTGTTGTATACATCATCTCTGTGTATTTGGGTTGAATCCTCGTATTTTTATTCTTACAAAAATGATATTTTGTAAGGTTAAGAAATGCAGAAAATTGAAACCCATCAAGTTCACTATAGCTTCTTTACGTTATGTTATCTCTCTTTATAATCATAGTGTGCTAAAAAGAGCAGAGATACAAGTCTAACAGGCCAGGTTCTGGAAAAAATCGTAAAAAAATAAAATTTTGAAAAACATTCTAATAATTGTTCATCTGTACGTTATGTACATGTGCATACAAGTAATTGAAGATGTTTCATGTGCATACCAAAAAAATTACTTGTATGCACATGTGCATACTTTACAGATGAATTTTATTAAGATATTTTTTAATTTTTGAGGTTTTTTGTTGAATCTCATTCTAGGTTGTAGAACCTTAAAAATAAGATTTTAATTAAATCTATGTTTTTTTTACAAGTATAACATAAATTCCATTAACATGTTTCTTCTTTTTTATGAGAGGCATTTCATCAAACGGTTTTAGACCGGACAAGACTTGATACGACAAACATTCACTTATTCCTGTTACACCAGAGTAACCTTTTCACAATGTTTTCACTTGTCTCGTTCTTACCTATCTAGATACCAAACGCACCCATATCCCTTTTACATTTCTCTTTTATGACGGGCATTTTCGTCAAACGGTTATAGACCGGACAAAGTAACCTTTTTACAGTTCTTTAACTTACCTCACTCTCAATAAATCATCATCTAAACAACATTTCTAAAAAAGGACACCCTCATGAAAATTTCATTTTCGATTATATAATTGTATAACTATAACAAATAAACATAACTTACAAAATGGAACTGTACATCCCGAGCCAAAACAGTGTGCGCAGTGCACCCATGACCCATCCATCGTCACCACCACAAACACCTCCCCAAAAGTTCAATAAATTTAGCCCCACACCTTCTATGTACAACAAATCAACAAATTGTTTTCCCTTTCCACATCTCCATCACAAGTTTGAAAATCACGATAACACCCAACTCCGAGTCGTCACAAACCCACGACCCACAATGCAACTTGTAAGCTTTGAGTCATCATTAGTGATGTAAACGTTTGCCTCATTTAGGTAGAATTATTGTTTGCTTATAATGCTTTCGTAAGGGTACCGTGTCCTTTGTCTTTATAATCTTTTTGCAAAGCCAAGATCTCACTCACCCGAAACCAATCTTGGCCCTTTCTTCACCCTTGTTCATCCCTTTCTCAATCCCCGGCCAACCCTTTTCGCGTAAGATTGACTTTGACTTTGACTCGTCACAAGCCCTCTTTGAAGGATGGACACCGAACCCAATTGGGTTTTTTTTGCCAAATTACTAAAACCGTCGCATCTCGATCACCCCCGTTTAACTGAATTTCTCAAAGTTTCATCTGGAAATGTCCATGAGAACAAATGGCCACCAGAATCACCACTCAACAATAACTTCATATCACTTGAAAGATGAAGTGCAGTGACTGAATCCTTATGGCCCTTGAGTACTTTATGTAGCAATAATGTGTATTCTGGTAATTTACCATTGAGACCTAACCCACAATGCACATTTGCAGAAGGATGTTTTTGAGTTTTAGCAATTTCAAAAGAACTGTGAACCATTTGCCATACCTTAATATCTCCACTTTGGTGACCCGATACGTACCAGTTCGTTTCGAGCCAATCGGAGAACGTACAAGTCGTTACAGACAAGATAATATCGGATGGTAGTTGAGATGTGTTGACAACGGAGATGCAGTCTCCGTTTATGCTCCAAACTGCAAGCAAAATGCCTGCCGCAGTCACGATTTCGCCGGTCAAGTCGTTCATGTATACAGCCGAAATCGGAAACGGGAACTCGGGAAGCTGTCGGAGAAAAACCAAAGAGCTGAGATCCCATATGATGACGGTGCAGTCTTCTGAACCACTTATAATCGTCATGTACTGCTGGCAAACGTAAAGACGGGTGACTTTAGCCGTGTGAGCACAAAGGGCTTGTTTCAAGGTCAATCTTCGTGGTGCACGGGGTCCACCGTAGGCTCCTATCCGCCAAACGCAAACCAACCCATCATCGGCACCGGTGACCAGAAGTTGACCATCGTGGCTACCACTCGCACACTGGATCTGGTGGCCTCCGTGAAGGTTTTCATGGGTCGACAAAAGCCGATCTTGATCGTAGCTCATGAACCTCAAGCTACGATCGGGGAAACCCCACGAAACATACTTGGCGTAGGTCCTCGGTTTGATAAAGTTGTTTGTGCCCACCATTAAAATCTTGTCGTTAATGGTAACAATTTGCGCTATAGAAGATTCAATCTTACGAATCTCGTGTGGGCTAAGACGTGCGGATAACTTAAGCGGATTAAGGGGCGGCTTCCTATCCGTCCTCCTCTTCACGTGCGGCCTTTGGAAAAGTTGCTTCGGTGTTTGGCCAAAGTGATTAATTTGAGCAAGAATCGCTGCTTTCATTCCGGGATCTGCAACTGCATCTATATCGACACTCCCCTCATATGTGTAGTGGTAGAAAACGTTTACAGCTTCCGCAGCCGCCTGTCAAAATCGGGAAATTTCCGTATTTTCAACAGGTGGAGAAAATATTCAGGAGCATTATAACAATTTTGGTATGTAATCACATAGAGATGGATAAAAGGACCAGACTGTGCTGTCCCGACAAGTCCCGGACCAGACCGTAACTTTATTTGGCCGGACCAGACAAGACCTGGCAGCCGGTCCTTACCCGGTCCAATCTTTTTTGAGATGGATCGGTCCCGGACCAATCCTTTTAGGACCGAATAAAGCCCAGATCAGATAATAAAATTGGACCCATTCGAAGACCGGGTTGGACCGGATGCAGACCAACTCACTTTTAAAAAGTTCGAATTTATTAAAAAGACTTCATGACTGTAATTACAAATAGAGTAAATTATGATTTTCGTCCATGTGGTCTGTTAATAATTTCAACTTTCATCCATGTGGTTCAGAAACTGCGATTTTCGTCCCTACAGATCGCAATTTATTGCTAATTTCGTCCCTGGACTAATTCCTACCTTACAAGGGACCAAAACAGTAAATAATTTTAAACCATAAGGACCGAAACAACAATAAATTGTAAATCATAAGGACGAAAAGAGCAATGAATTAACCATAGAGACAAAAACCGCAATTTCTAAACCATAGGGACGAAAACCGTAATTTCTAAACCACAGAGACGGAAATCACAATTTTTAACAAATCACAGAGATGAAAAAAATAATTTACTCTTAAAATTAATATAATCAAAATCAAAGCATTTCTTATGTTTTCATTTTTCAATGTATAACAGTATTTAAGTACATTTTCATAAATCCATTTGTAAATTTATATTTTATAATGTTTAATACAGTAAATGAATTGTTAAATCATGAACAATATATAATTGAATAACTGTAATGTTAATAATTATTATATGTAATAGTTATTAATGACGTATTAGATTAATTTTCATTAAAATTAAAAAACAGATTACACAAACCCAACCAAAACCAGATCGAATCAGATCAGACCAGACTGGACCGGGCTTTGGACTAGGTTGACCAGACCAGATCTTTTAGGATCAATCCATGCCATCTCTACAATTAGCGATTTAGCGATGGCCAAAATGGGCCCGGCCCGGCCCAGGACCAGCTTAGGACAGAGACTGACCGGTTATGGACCGAAAGTCTCGGAACGGTTACGTTTTTCACGAAAAGCCAAGTGCAAAAGTGTTCCCCTATCATATGAAAGGAAATAGAAATGTAAAGAACATCGATACATACCTTCCCTCGTTGTTTGTAACCGAAAATAAGATCGATCCAGTGATGTAAATTCTCCGAAACATAATCAGATTCCAGAGCTTCCCTATGCTTCTTGATGAACTCTCTAGTACTACCTTTTGCCCAAGGAGGCAATCCAACATCTCCAATCTGGTAATCACAAAAAAAGTATCGTCTGATAAGTACAAGAAACTTCAAGAAATGTAAGGGGTTGTCTGGTTGGTTTTCCATCAAGGGTCTGTTTGTTAGCAGCTTAATGAGCTTAATCGGACTCGAGCTTGTTCTATCAGCTATACATGATTATTTGGCAGTGGCTTAATGATATAGATAGTGACCTATTCTCTAACCTTCTAGGGGGAGCTTTATGCAGAAAACCAAGTTTTTCACAAACCTGCCCTTCCCAATAAAAAACATGTTCATTTCATCTATGAAAAAACCTTCTCAATCTATACAGACAAATTAATCCACACAGACAGCTTTATCCATACAGAACTTAATGGAAAACCAACCAAATAGCCCCAAAGTCTTGTATGGATTATTCCGTCGGTATAGATTGGGAAGATTTTTGTTTGGAAGAGTTTTTTCATACATGAAATGAGCGTGGTTTTTTAACCGGTAGGGGAATGTTTGAAACTTCTTTTTTGGCCTTCAGCATAAAGCTCCCCCTAGAAGCCTATTGAATAAACCACTTTCTATATCATTAAACCATCAGCAAACAGTCATGTATAGCTGATCGAATAAGCTGTAAGTCTCATTAAGCTCGTTAAGTTGCTAACAAACAGGCCCGAAGAAGGTTAACTTCCAAGATATGAACTTCAACAGACCTTTTCTCCTGATTGTTTCTCCCCAAGATCAAGATCAAAACGGTTTTCCAAGAACTCTGGCATATAAAAGAATTCCGGGACCAATTCCTTTACATCTGAGGTGTTGCTTTTTCCAGCTGCACTTGACCATGTATCACGTATGTTATTGAAAAGCCGGTCAGCATGATCAAACTGCCCACCCTGCAGCTTTTGATTTTCTGTACTAAATGGTGGCAAGCGTATAAGATAGAAGAGGACGATTCCAGCACTCGAATAGTGAGAACCGTAATGAAATTTGGGAATCTCAGGATCATCCCAGCTGTCATACCTGATAATGAACCAATAATAAAGAATCGACATGAATGACTAAAGACAAGGGCAGTTTTCCTGATACCATGGTTTTAAAAATCGTTCGAGGCGAGGCGGCCCAAACCGCACCTGATGCAGCGCCTCTTGGACCCTGGACGAGGCTTAAGCCTTGGTTCAGGGAGGCGGTTTGGTAAGGCTGAGGCAAACGCCTCAGATGATCTCCTTTGGTGATGGTTTTTTTTGGCTTTCTTATAAGCTTTATGGCAGTAGTAGTACTTTTCTTTGTAGTATAAGTGTCTTTTTTGAAGAACTAAAAGTTAAGGCCCGATGGCCCCAATGTGTGCTTTTAATATTTTAAAACCCAAATAACTATTACTTTCTCCTCTCAATCAAAAAGTGTGGTTTGACCTTCCTCTTCCACCAAGCAACCAATTTTTCAACACCCTTTGAGACTATCTCACGGTTTCACTCTTTCCTATGTCAAGAACCAGCGCCCTTAGTAATTTAGTATTGTATAAAACTGAGAAACACCCAAAAAATATGAAAAACCGAGTAACACCCTGTGGATACAAGTAATTGAAGTTGTTTCTGGTTTTTATACACGTATACACGTTATCATTCAGATGAACGGTTACCAGGTTGTTCCTTAGTTTTTCATTTCTTTCCAGTTTTCCCCTGAACCTGACCTTATGTGTGTGTATATATATATATATATATAATTGTATATAAATGTATAATATAAATTTTGTAGTATATATACGTATTTTGGTATATATATATTTCCGCCTCGAGGATTACACCTTGCCTCGCCTCGTTGAGGGAAAACCCTCGAGGCCCGATTCTGCCTTTTAAAACGTTGCCTGATACCAAAAAGCCAGAAAATCAGAAGAGCCAAAAAAGAAGATATAGATGATGCCAACCTTTTCCTGAACTCCTGCTCCCCCTCTATTGTTTGACAGCCCATGGGCTTGTCAAGTCTACGGAATGTTTCTGGTTTGGTGAAGTCCAAATTTTCGTTCTCATAATCTGACAAAATCCAAGGGAAGACAGGATACTGAGTAAGATCACTGTACCCACGACCCGCAAGTGTGTTGAGGTGCATAAGGTACTGGAAGTTGCTAATTTCTCCATTTTGCCACCTCTTGGAGAAGGATTTAGCCATAATCTTGAAAGTGCTTTCTTGTTTAACCGATCCCGATATTGTGGTGTCCAACCTATTAATGAAAAGAACTTATGTAAGCTTAACGCCATTGCTAATATTTTTGTAAAGTGAGGCTTAATAAATAAGCTCAGCATAGCACAAAAGCTTGCTTATATACGCGTAGAAAAGAAAATGAATGAGGATATACCATATTTTATGGAGTGCACATTAAACAAACATTGATGGAAACAATAACTCTGTAAGGTTGCACCAGGTATCATGGATCTTGTTAGTAAGCATATTTATATCAATAAAGGGGCAGTTTGGTTGGTTTTCCATCAAGTCCTGTATGGTCCGACTGTATAGATTGAGAAGGTTTTTGTTTCAGATGGTTTTTTCATACATGGAATGAGCATGTTTTGTATATGGGAAGGGCATGTTTGGAAAAAAAAACTTGGATTTCTGCATAAAGCTCCCCTTAGAAGCTTACTGAATACGCCGCTTTCTATATCATTAAGCCACTACCAAACAGTCATGTATAGCTGACCAAATAAGCTGCGAGTCTCATTAAGCTGCTAACAAACATTCCCTTATGCTAAAACTGTCAATATGGATTAATCTGTCTATATAGATCGGAAAGGTTTTTGTTTGGGTGGTTCATAGATGGAAAGAGTGAGTTTTTAAATTGCGAGAGCAAGTTTGGAAAAAAAAACTTGGCTTCTGCATAAAGCTCCCCCCTAAAAGCTTACTAAATAACCACTTTCTATATCATTAAGCCACTACCAAACAGTCTTCTATAACTGACCGAATAAGCTTGTTAACATAATATCACTAGAAGCAACTGGAATTAACAAGAAAAAACATACATGCTGTTTCTTGGAAGATTCAATGCCAGCAGATTTCGGAAAACTTCCTCCCTCTCCTTTTTATGGAAAACCAAAAGATCGTTACATCCATCCATGCTGAATATTTCAACAGCAACAGGACGCAGCTGGTAATCCCGCTTCAAAATTTCATGGACGCTATTAAGCTTCCACATTCGCCATAGATGAGGTACATTGTTACTGCTAGCGGCGTTTTCCTCACTCCATGCACCACTACTGTATGCCCATGCTCTGCCCCCGGTGTACGCGGATGTGGTTGACTTCGAATGGGAGTACACCCTTATAGACGTATCCTTCTTTACACCTAAAGCTTGGTCAATAACCGAAAGATCGTCTTCACATTCCTTTTCACAGATGCACCCTGAATCATCGATATAGAAGTTCTCTATAACGTAAAGGCAGAGTTCTCCTATCAGAAAAATACCGTCATGTTTATCAAGAGACACAACTCGTTCACAATTATATCTCAATTTGATTTTCTCATTACGTTCTAGATACGGTCTAATCAAGTACTTCCCGTTGTCACTCGATTCCCGATCCAGTTTGTCCTCCATCAATCTAACGTTGTCGGACCTTACTGAAGCGTACCTTCTAAGAGAACCAACATCGGATTTTTCTATTACGCTCTCTGATTTTGGTGCAGCTACTGAACTCGACTTAACACTAAATGTAGCAGCTGAATGAATACTTGCCTCAAAAATACTACTATCTTTATCATCATTCCATCCGACCCGACTGGAACTGACATCTTTTACACCATCTGATTCTTTAAACATCGAATCACCAAACACCTCTTCGTCATCGGATTCCTGTTTTCCGACATACGGCAAAAGATTTGAGAAAGGACCCGACTCACAACCACAATTACTCGAGTCAACTTCATTTTTCTCAATGTATAATTCCCCACCTTCAAACTCCCCACTTAAAATAGTTTCAATCGTATCTGCTTTCAGTTTGCAACGCTCGATCTTTTTCCGCATTCTATACGGGCCTTCAATCGGGCAAAGCTGCCATTCAGGCTCTTCGATTAAAACCGACTTACGCAACGGGAATATACCTCGCTCGTGTACAAGTTGTTGAAGATGCATTTGCCACTCACTTTCAGCATGAAGTACCCATCCATACTTATCTTGACGAACAACCCCCAATTCAGTAGACATCTGATCACAGACCAATTCCAATGCAATTCTCCGTTCCTTAATTTGATCCCAATGTCTTTGGTCCAACTTTCTTGATTCCTTCGATTTTCTACTCATCTCTTTCTTACGACGACCATCCATACCTTTGATTCGCACTCCCGGAAACTTTACCGACCCAGCAATATACTGAACCCACATAATTGCAGCACCCTGTTCCAACGTTTTACTAACAAGAAGTTCAGAAGTTTGAAGCCATTCAAAGAAAGATGGTGTACTTCCAGTAAGAAGTTTATCAAATCCGCCATGTAAAGCATCCAAAACCGGTCCTTGGTTGTGTTTGGAGACGAGCAGGTCCTCGAGTGCCGTTTTACGATGCACTAGAAGATGCTTGAGAACGTCAACTGCCAAATTCTGTGCATTCTGCCGCTGATCATGTAGAAGAGATATTAAATTTATACACAGGCAGCAATTTAGATCGTTGTCAAAGTTACTTGGGCAGAATATTATTCGTTTATGAGCAACAAGTAGCTGTAACACCGTGCAAATATCTATCACTCCGTCCTCTTGTGATGCATTAAGAACCACTCTCTTCTTTGTCTCGATTTGCAAACCGAGATGTGAAAGAAGTTCATCTTCTCCAACGGAGATCAAGAACGATGGAAGAAAACAGTACATAATGGTACGATTCATATTCTTAAACATTGCAAGTATGTATGCATCGAGTTGCTTCGCTCTACCAATAGACAGGAGTCCTTTTCCGGGTGGAGCTGCTTGTTCGATTCTACCGTCCTTATTTGCCAGCTGCAACATCGACAACAAGAATTCCAAAGTCTTGAGTACAGAAGCAGGCTCGGGAAAAGCACCCATATATACACGATCAACTATCATCCAACACAAAGCGTCTAAATTCGATGACCACCGTGTTTTATCAAGTTTCTTCTCGTCTTCCTCATCATCACGCAAGATCCGCCTTTCAAGAAAGTTCATCAGTCGACTAAGACATAAACCCTGGAAAACCAAGAGAGATTCAGCATCAACATACAACGGAACGCTTTCCAAAATGTTCTCTATAACGATTGCAGCTTTCATCTGGTCGGTTACAGAATCAGAAAGAACTTCAGCCATAAAATCTAAAACGGCAGTTGCTCCTGCTGAACAAGGACCACCTCCGTAACCAGAATCATCCGCATCAAGAAGCATTCCTGGGTTAATTGAGAAATTCGTGTCTGTGGCATTTGGGACTCGGGAAGTGCATTTCGGGTCTGAAGCTGTATCAAACTCAGACAAAGATACAGACATAGATATAGAAGATGCCATGGAAGGAGAGGCAGCTAACTTGGGTTTTGATTCATTGACACTAGCATTCTGCCATGAACTCGTTGCAAGAATTTGTGATGACGTGGGTATTTGCTGAACCCCGGTGGAATCAAATATATTTAAAGATATGGAACTTAGTGAACTAGTTTGGCGAACAGGCTCCGGAGTGATTTTGAGATCATGGGAACCGAAATCTTTACCGTCAGATATCACAGCAGAAACCTGATCAACTTCTCCGACTGACTTGTGTGATTCCTGTGGGGATAAGGTTACATCATTTGCCTTATATTCATCCAAATTGCTTGTGGCAACGGGAATATCTTCGGAACTTGTACTTGCATGTTGTGGAGGGGAAGTTCCGAGACTTATGGAGGTTTTTTCACACTGTTCCTGCTCAAGTGGGAGGCTATTGTGAGAACTAGTCGTATCATCTGAATCATTCAGATTTTTGTCTTCTGACTTCACGGACAATTTTTTTGCCATCTTCACAGCATGAGCTGACCTACAAAAGCAGTACAAGCAATGTGTAAAATTCGACTAACTACACAACCATATGGGTGCATTTGGTATCCACACAAGATAGTACAGAACAGAACAGTTGTTCGGTGTTTGGTAAGACAGAACTGGACAAGACAAAACAGATAAAATGACCAATTTACCCCTACTGAGTTGTTTACATATTTTGATTAATTATGTAATTTATCAAATTATAATAAAATAAATATTTTTCATAGAAAATATATCATTAGAAAGTTTTGTCAAGACGATTAAATGACACCAAAATAAAAAGTTTATGCAGTTTACGGTTTTTACTTAATACCTTTTCTATTTTATTTTATTTTACTACTAATATTTATTAAATTACATAAATTAGTCAAAATATAGAAACCATATGAAAATAATATTTTGAGGACAATAAAGTGAAAGTTTAAAGGGCATAAAATACAATAAACAAAATTTAAGAATGAATAAAACGTAAAGAGAAAGGATTATTTGATGTTTTAGAAGACAATTAGGTTCTATTTTGAGGTTATATTGGTAAAACATAAGTCTGTTCCATCTTGTTCCATGAGGTAGTGGTCGAACATGCCTATTCCACTCCGCTCCACATAAAAGTCCTACCAGACGTGGAACATTGATCCCCATTTTGTTATGTCCTATCCAGTGCACCAAACGCACCCTAAGAATGTGTTCTTGAAACCTTTTTAACGAAGGAAAGAAGAAAGGGAGGGAAACGGGAAGAAAGTAAAAAGTATCTCGTGTTCTTGGAACTTTTTTAGGAAGGAAAGGAAAGGAAATAAAAGGAAAATAATGATAAGTTTCCTCCCAAAACTTTCCTCCCACATGTGGGAGGAAAGGGAAGGAAAGAAATTAAAACCATTTAAATAAAATTATTAAAATTACAAAACTATCCAATCTTTAATTATAAAAGATATATTTTTAAAGGGTATATTTGTAAAAATGACATCTTTATCTTCCTTTCTCCCCTGATCAAGAACACGAGAAATTATTTTCTTTCTTTTCCTTTCCTTCCTTTTCCTTCCCTTCCGAGAACACAAGAAAAAATTATTTTCCTTTCCTTCCTTTTCCATCCCTTTCTTTCATTTCTTTTCTATTCTCTCGTGATTACAGAACACAGTAAAGGTCTCCACTCCGAGCTTTCCATATAATATCGTGATACACATATAAGCCAAGAAAAGGAAGAGGTCGAACCTGACACAAGAGAAATGAAGATCCACACAGTGCTCAAGAAATTCAGCTCGTCTGCACACAGAAGAAAACTGAGGACACATTTTGGCTAAATCAACCATGAACCTAAGGACGGAAGTTGCAGCAGCAGGGGCCGAAGCATCTCCACCCATGAGACGGGCAGCGTAAGTTTTGTGCATCAGAGCTTCTCCCTGAAGCTCTCCAGTCATCTCTGTATTTCCATTCACAAGCTCCGCCACGATCCCAGCATCAACCTGATTCAGATCGCCACTTTCATAGGCAAGCATTAGCTGGAGGGACAACCGATCAAATGTAGATTTCGCCATAGCAATCACGGAATCCAACAGTTCTAGAAATTTCAACTCCGGATGACTTCCATCACTTGGCATAAGGGCGTGAAAGTCCAACAAACGAACTTCGGGTACTCTTGGATAAACGGCCTTGCCAAATATAAGACAAAACAGAATGTAATATATATCGGGAGTGTCGTAGAAACTAGGAAGCACCCTCACCAATCCTTGATATCCTCCGCTTGTGCGAAATTTGAGAGAAAAAGTAGGAGAAGAGGTAAGACACACACCGAGAAGAGTCATGACCCATCTCATACTAGTAGGATGAACAGCTTCGTCAAAAAAATACGTTATCAACTTGGATGAAACAACCTTATGCCACTGCTCAAGAAGCTCGTCTGATTTAATGGTCACTAAAAGATCAATTAGCATCTCAAGAAGCACATTTCTAACGATAATGTGCTTCCCCATTGACTCTCTAAGTATCTGACTCCTTGATGTCAGTTGTGGAGGATCAAACGTCATAATCACAAACCGAACAACATGTTCCAGTTCAGAAATGACAAACCCATCTTCCAAAATTACCCCTAGCAGCATGACTAATTTTTCTAGTACAGGAACTTCAACGTCACCCCTTTGTAGTGTCACTAATAGATGTTGAACGAGGTTTATCCTACGCAAAATTGTAAGATTATGATTCCGGTACCAATGCGTCGAAACGAGATTCTCGAGAAATCCCAGAAGAGAAATTTGTATTGGAACTGATGCCGCTACCCAAACAGTCCAATCCAATAACACGTGTTCAACCATATCTGCATTTGAAAGAACCATGCAGTTTGATGTTTCGGTTGACAAATCACCATTATCGAGTTCTGAGATATGACTGAACGCATCCTTATTCACAGAAAAATCATCCATGTCTCCTGGTGAACCAACTGACGAAGCTTCATCGTTAAACTTCGACATATTAAGATCCTCAAAGCTGGCTTCATGGACATTTGTGACAACAGGTGACAGATTATTAGTTTTTTCCAACTTATTTGGTCCAGGAAAAGAAGCATCACAAGCAGCAATCTGGAAAAAGATCTCGAGTGAATGCATATCAAATATTGACATTTTAGGACGCAAAAGGAGTGCTAGCAAGTGATATCCTCTATACGATTGCATGTCTTTAACATTCAGTGGATTTTGGTGAAGTGCACAAGCAAGCAGTGTCAGCACCATATGTAGCATGTCTCTGGTTTCGGCTGCTTCAACCAGGGCTAACACAATGGCAATTCCACCGATGGGGCGCATGGTTTCACCTATTATAGAATGCTTACATACATAAATATCCCCATGAAGACGCCCAAAGCGTGGTATACCTGGAGGAATAGAACACTATTAAAAACATCGACTAACCCACTTTCACAATGCAGAAAACTAACAACGAACTGAATTATATGTAGAGTTGTAACCGAACCGAATGCTCAGCTAACTGTTCGTGAACCGTTTGGCGGGAAGTTCGTTTATGTTTGTTTATTTAATAAACGGACGAGCATGAACACATCTTTTTGTTCATTTAGTTAAATGAGCGAACATGAACAATGGCTTATCCATTCATTTATGTTCGTTTACATTTATTTATGTTTGTTTATGTTCGTTAATATATATAAATATATTTATATATTATGACATTAATATGTAAAATCAATAATTAAATTAAGTTTTTTAGAATTTCTTTTTTATTTCCCCTAAATTTACTCGGTTTTACATTTTGTTATGATAGAGAAACGAAATGATAAGTAATGGTGGTTGTTTTTTGTTCATTTGTTTGTTTGTTATGTTCACTTGTGTTTGTTTAAGTTCGTTTGTGATGTTTGTTTAGCATCTTGACGAACAAATACGAACACAAAATTATGTTTGTTTAGCATCTTCATAAACGAACGCTAAGAAACACATTTTCTTATTGAACGAACAAGAATACAAAAAATTCCATTCGTTTACCATTCCGGTTTATTCGTTTGTTCGGTTAAATTAAACGAACGAACATGAAAACAAGAAGTTTCGTTCTTTTATCGTTCGTTTGTTTGGTTAAGTTGAACGAACGAACACGAGCAAGCCTCCATTCGTGTTCGTTCCATCCATTTACAGTATGTAAAAAGTAGAAAGATCGTGAAGTTAGGTTAAATATATGAGATCATTGGTTTGTAACAAACCTCCAATTGGAGAAGCAGCCGCTGACAATGGATCAACTAAATTGAGCATCGACAAAGTTCCACATGCTTCAAAAGCTTCTGTAGATGTCCCATCAAATGAAAATATTAGCTTTCGTCCAGAAAGCTGTAGGGAAAGATTCCATAATCTTTCAAGATCCCACACAATGCCACTGCGATCCGCCTTAGAGCTCATTTGTTTATTAGCATCAGGTCTCTGCGTGTTAGAAGCCAACACCAAATCAGTTTCAAGGGAATCTAAGATGGCCATACTTCCACCACCACAAGCCTGGTTTGGGACAAATTGCAAAAGGTTGGTATCTTGAAAAAGGCCCCTATACCCTCTGCCCAGAATATGGATAAAACAAATAGACCCTGGTGTCAAAGCTTCTTCAAATAGATAGCAAGACCGGATTTTCCACGATATGTCATTGACCCTTGCACAAGAAACAGGTGTCCCGATGGTTACCTGCAAAGATTTGCCAGCAGGGGAGGGAGAGTATCCTAGTTTTCCCGTTTGTCTAAGCTTTCCGTTAAGATAGACATGGGAAACACTAGCTTGGAATAGTCCAGCCAAGGTACTCGGTTTGCTATGCACCACAGCAAGATGATGCCATCGGTATTCATCTATATCTAAACCCGAAAAAGATAAGGAAGACGAATTGCTGGTTGCAAGGGTTAAAGTTCCATCTTCTTGAAGATAAACTTCTGCATAGAAGTTATTACCCCCATCGGTATCACCAACGGAGAATATGCGCATGACTTGTGGACCTGTTGTGCTTGTATGTCTTTTAGAAAATCCAGCCTCGGAAGATTCTGATTCTTTGATGTCTGATTTCAACAAATTTCGAAATTGAAACCAACAAACGAATGAATACCCAGCAGCCGGGGGCCATGATCTCTCACCCAATGGTACTTGGATAGAAGCATGCCCAGATTTGCTCATATCCATCTCTACAAATGGTGCAAGAGGAATGTTTTCTGAAGCCGTATTTTCCATTAGGATTAACCTCTCCATCGTATCAATAAGGATATGACTAGATTTCATCTGTCTCACTTGCAAAATATATCTTACAATCACCCGTAGTTCTGCTGATGACAACCTGCACCCAAAAAGTATACACGAAGATATTTTAGAAATGTCAGGAACTTCAGCGGTTCACAATATGTACAAACATTAAAGATACATGCAATTGTGATCGTGACTTGACCACAATATATCTTCTAATTATTTACACTAAATGGGACTCTTATGGAGCAAAACGATTGACAGTGACTATTGCATGGTGTTAAAAAGCATTCGCCTCGATGAGTGCCTTGAGGTGAGGCACTAGAAAATCGAGTCTGGGCCTGCGCCCCTCATGGGTTAGTTGAGCCATATGCCTCGAGCCACTGAGGTGGGCCTTGCGGCACCTGAGGCGGTGAGGCGGAGGTTAGAAATTAGGGCTTAGAAATTAACTTCCTGATTTTACTTTTCATAAAATAAACCCAGTTTCTTGCTCGTCTTCTCCTAGTTTTCATTTGTCATCTCCAACGTCTTCACTAGTCTCCCAATTGGACGAGCTTCACATGTGTGTGTATAATTTTTTATTTCCCCCTTCTCTAATTTCCCATTTTAAAGATATATGGTAGATACATGTGTGTGTATATATATATATATATATTATTTCTTCTTCATCTCCCACTTTGTATATATTTAGTATATATATAGAGGGAGGTTCAGGTATTAAACCCCCAAAAAATGAAAAACTAAGAAACACCTTGGTAACCATTCATCTGGACGGTATGCACATGTGCATAACGGAAAAATTGCTTACAAATTACTTGTATGCACATGTGCATGTCGTCCAGATGAACGGTTACCAAGGTGTTCCTCAGCTTTTTTTTAGCGGTTTTCCCCTAAACCTGCTCCCATATATATATACACACACACGCACGCACATATACATATATATATATATATATCCGCCTCGGACCGCCTTGAGGCTTATATATACACACACACACACACACGCACGCACATATACATACATATATATATATATATCCGCTTCGGACCGCCTTGAGGCTTATACCTCACCTCATTAAAGAAAAACGCCTCGAGGCCTGATTTTGCTATTTAAAACTTTGGAGTATTGTTGCGGAACTGAGAGATGCAACTCCCAGCAAAATTGTAAAAATGAGAATTTCTGGATTTGAAGAGTCTTACCTATAAGCCCCAAGTACTTCAATAATCCTTAAAGCATGGGATAGTAGAGGGGATGACCCAGAAAGGAAGGGATATATTGTCTCAAGAAGAAGTTCCACACAACCTAACCAAAGAACAAATAGCAAGTTAAGATACTGGGTGCTGTTACAAGTTACAAGTAGAGATGGAAATTTTACCTGTAGGGGGGGGAGGATGGGGATTTATTTTCATACCCGAAGCGGGGCCGGGGCCGAGATGGCATTACCAACCCTAATCCGACCGCAATTAAATTTTTGATTTTATTTAATATATGTATATAGTGTTTGTATAAATAAATATACATGTATACGTTTATTATTAAATGATAAATATATTTGATTTTCAATATTTGTAATTAGTGTAATGAAGATTTATTAAATTTTTAATTTTAAAAAATACATTGTTTTTTACTAAACGGGTACCCAACGGGTTCGCCGAAACCCGCCGGGGATTCTTTCCCCCTGAGCCCGTCAGGGATTAGTCAGGTCGAGGAAGGGGGACGCATTATCATTTACCTGCGTTGTTTCCATCCCTAGTTACAAGTACACATAACAGATTTGTAGATTAATACCTGCAGATGTAAGGCTTTCCTGGTTAAAAGAGCCAGCAAGAGCAAGTATTTCAATAAGTTTTAGAAACTCCAGCTGAAGTTTTGGACTAAAAAGCAACAACAAACGGATGAGAACCCACAGTGCACCAGCATTATATATACGCTGCTTATCAGGAATGCACGAAGCTGGAGTAACTATCCGGAAAGCAAAGACATCGCCACGATCATCTGATGGTTCTGTAGTTTCTGGTGTGAAGGACGGTGGAAGCACAATCTCAAGAGCAAGTTCAAACAGCAGCTGCATGACTTGCTTTTCACACTCCACACAGATCAATCCAGACTCGGATAAAAGATCACAAAAACTTTGTGAAGATATAATCACATGTAGCTTTACTCTATTAACGGCATTGTTGCATACTCCAGCAGTGATTACGCGTACCAGATATGTGAAAACTTTGATGCAAACTGTTAAGGAGGATTGGCGAATTTGCTCTTTATCTCCTTGGAAACCGTTAAGTGTAGTAAGAATAAGAGCAAACCCGGTGGCTTCACCAAACACTCTCTGAGAAGAACTGTTGGCTCCTAAAATTCGCCATATGGCTCCTAAAATATCACATTTTGCATCATCTCGAAGCTTGTATTGAGATCCCAAAGTGCTGATCACCATCCCACTCTTTGAAATCTCAACCAGTGAGCCCAATTCATCAGGATGAGCCTAATAAAGATACAGATAAGGTGACTTAAGTTCCAATGATAAACATAAAAAAGCACACAACAAATGCCTTGAATATAAAAAGGCATGCTTTATCAATAACTTTAATGTAGACCATAAATGAGTCTGCCTGCATTATACTCCCTTCATTAGAAAAAAAGGACAGAGGGGTTGTTTGGTTGGTTTTCTATCAAGTCCTGTATGGATTAATCTGCCTGGATAAATTGGGAAGGTATTTGTTTGGGTGGGTTTTTTCAAAGATGGAAGGAGCGTGCTTTTTAATAGGGAAGGGGAGGTTTCAGAAAAACTTGGCTTTCTGCAAAAAGCTCCCCTTAAAAGCTTACTGAATTTGCCACTTTTGACATCATTAAGCCACTACCAAACGTCATGCATAGCTGACCGAATAAGTTGCGAGTCCCATTAAGCTCATTAAGTTGCTAACAAACAGGCCTTAAGTTTTGACTTACGATGTCAAGAAGGTTATCTTTTTACTTCTTAAAATTTGTTAATTACATTAAACTTTATGTTAAGCTCTACAAGTATCGAGAAGTACCAGGTTTTATAGCAAAAATTAAAGTGTTAGCACTTCTTTGGAACACAGGGAGTAATTTGAGAGACCACCACAAAAAACAGCTGAAGCCCTCATAAGAAAACATTAGAACAAATTCAACCAAATCAGTGAACTAAATAAGGATATGTGTATATATATATATATGTGTGTGTGTGTGTGTGTGTGTGTGTCTCTGATTGTATGTATTTGTGAATATATACATATTTTTTAGTGTGTAGATAAGTTTATGTATCGTATGTGTGTGCATGTGTATTTTTTGATATGTATGTATTTGTCAGCATGACAAGGAAACAAGAACCATTGCCAACCTGTACAGAATCCTCGATGATTAAGCATGATAATACCCGGAGGACACCAGGACGGTGATCATCAGATGCCAAAAAAGGAAGCGCAGTAGTTACACCATCAGCGGAACGGAACTTCACTTGATTATGTTCAGCTTTTCTCAATAATGAAACCAAACAGTCCCAAGCAACTGGAATTGTGCGTTCAGCTTCAAAAAGAGACAACTTCCCAGAACTAGAATCCAATAATTTAGGAGACGATAGAATTGCATCTTTACCGTCCAGATGTTTCTTGAAACCATTCGGGCTGGACTTCCTGTCCAGCTTGCCAGTGTTATCGTTGTTCTGCTGATCTGGGCCCACAAGAAACCTGTGCTGCTTGAGATCATCTAATAAAACCTCCAGCACACCAACTTCTCGTAGGAACTTTTTGTACTGTTGATCAAAAGACACCAGCTTTACAAAGAACGCCAGGATAGTGTGCTTCAACTCAGATGTTATTGGTTGTTGCAACAAGCAGCAAAGCGAAAGCAACTCTTGCTCAGGTATGCAATTTACAACAGTCACGGCATACTCAAGAATCTTTAAGATAGTTTCTTGCAAAGGAGGCGGGAAGCCACCCATATTGAGGATCAACAAGGGTACCGTTCGCAATTGCTGACACAACATGTAGTTTTCGAGATGACCCGAGAATATCTTGAACATTCTATTCAGCACCTCGGACTGAAGTTCGCTACTATCTGCTTTGAGAAAAATGTCCTGCAGCACTTGGACAGCTTCTAAGTCCTTAACTTTGTAATTGTCCTTCTCCCAAACATCATCACTGAACCGGTCAGATGACAAAGATTGACTCCTGCCACCAGCATTTACATGATTTTTTGTACCCTTTGAGCCGGGCGACCCAATCACGTCCGTTGAGCCTGTTTGAGCTAGATTAACAAGAACATCAAGCAGCCTAGAAAGTGTGGGCGAGAGGGATTGTGATGAGGTGTCCCCTCTTCCCTTTTCGTCCTGCATGTCCATGTCATTAGTCGTCTTTGACCCTACTGAATCCGAAACTTTTTCAGAATGAAAACTTGGAGAACTAGTTTGAGAGCCGTGCTCTCTTGAAAGAACTAATGCAAACTGAACGAGAAATTGGTATCCATGAGCATTATGAATGTCTTCCCTGAGCCTGATACCACCAGCCTCTACAAATCAGAATCATCTTCAGTCAGCATCACTCGAATAAAAACACTCAAGAGCTATTCTAAAATAAGTTCAAGATAATGCACAAGTTATGCAGATTTATCCTATCAATATTACAGAAGGCCAAAAATGGGTCCCGGGCTGGGCGGAGCCCAAATCAGTCCCGGCCCTTGATTTACGGTTCATAGCGGGCCCCAGTCCTGACCAAAAACCCATGGCCCGGTCTCCATGGTTTGTAATCGGTCCCGGTCCCAGACCCAGGCCAGGCCCAAACCGGTACCCTTTTTTTCTCAAAAATTAATTTTCTTTTTTTGGTCAATATCTTATTGAAATACACTTTAAAATCTCTAATTGGGTCATTCAAATACACTTTTAAGATCTATTTTTTAAATCTTTTTTACACAAAAATGTTATAGATATTTTTATAATTACACTTCTTGAGATTTAGAATTGGAACATTTAGAAAAAATGTAAAAACATCATAAAGAACTTGAAAAGCTTAAAAAACTTGAAGCTTTGAGTAAAAAAAGTTCTAAAATCTCATAGAAATATTGAAAAACTTAATGTATAATGTATAAAAACTTAACTTTTTAACAAAATTGGACCTATGCGAAAAACACCATCGGATTTCAAAGTAGCAAGATCTAATTCAAAAATTTCCCCCAATTACAACCGTCTTGGTCCCAGGCCGGGACGTCAATTTCTATACAAAATCGTAACCAGTTATGGACCGCCGGCCTGCACCGGGCCCATATGGCCATCTCTAATCAAGATCATTAGATTAGAAGACACATTGAATGAGTTGTGAGCACTAACTAAACTTTCCTATTCAAGACAATAAGTGTTCAAGTCAAGAAAATAAGCCAAGTAACTGACCAGGTCTATATGACAATTCCACACATTCAAGCAACAAGTCTACAATACCCATTGTATACGCAGGGTCTCCATGTTCAGGATCAAAGTCCTTCACGGCCATTAAGAGTACTTTTATCTGTGCATGACAAAATTATAACACATATCAGAACTATCAGACATTAGAAAGGAAAGAAAAGATGTCAATTTTCCATATATACCCTTTAAAATATATCTTTTAAAATCAAAGGTTGGGTAGTTTTGTAATCTTAATAATTTTTTAGAGTTTTAATTTCTTTTCTTTCCTTTCCTTCCTTTTCCTACCACCTTTGGGAGGAAAGTTTTGGGAGGAGACTTATCATTATTTTCCTTCCGTTTCCTTTCCTTTCCCTCCAAAAATAGTTTCAAGAACACGAGTTTTTTTACTTTTCTCCCCTTCCCCTCCCCTTCCTCTCCTTTCCTTCGTTAAAAAGTTTTCAAGAAGACAGCGTAAGATAAAAGCATCAATGAGGTGTTCAAGAACCAGTCACACATGTGGACTTTTTTTTTCTTTTTGAAGTATATAATATTTATATACGGCAAATAGAACAAATAAACTCACACACCCTCCTCACCTTAGGTGAGGTTTGAACCCTTGACCTCCTAGAAGGCCAAGGACTCACACCTGTGGACTTAATTACGAATGGAAGGAGTAAAAAGGTAACGTGCTCTTAAATAATAGAAAAAATGGCATATTTATTCTAGAATGTTTAATGATTCAATTTTAATTCAGGATAACAGAATGTGATACCAGTTGGTGTTTCCTTATGTACTCAGCAGTGCTCCCATTGTCATTAACCAGAAGAAGACCTAGTACCTGCATAAAAGCGGAAAGACAATAAATATATTAGGTTAGAAAATAAAAAATAAAAGCTTTATTCATGAAGATGATGACAGCAATAGTTAGCTGCTGACTTGGAATAAATAGGAAGATATTTCAGAACAGTATTTCCTGTTTATTACAACTTAGTTACCATGTAATTAGCTACATCCATTCAGAGGTTTGAAGATCACCTGCTTCGCATGCCTATGGAGCTGAATTGTGTGCAAGGGGACAAGACCTTCTTGGTATCTTGAAAATAAAACCAAAGACCCGTTGGCAACCATCTCAAACAGTAGCTGAAGAGAATTGTCTTCAATCAGACTCTGTGCAGCTGCAGGATGGCTTGCCAGTGCCTTCATGATATGCAAAATGCTGCCCTCTACCTTCAAGAAGAAAAGCAAGCATTAGCAGAATTACGAATATTTTCCTTTATCCCTTAAATTGAAATAAAAAAAGTTCAAATCTATAATTAATAGTTTCCTTAGCACCAAATAAGCAACCATGGTAGGTGGTTGTTAAGGCAATAAAAGTATGAAAATAAGCAAGTGATGATGGCGGCTTGGGTGTAGTGCCATTGGAATAAACTATCGACAGTGCTGTCAAATATATACATATACATACACATATATGTGTGTGTGCAAATCACAGATTCCATGTCATGAAGCTAAGATTAACTATTTTATTCAACCACAAAACCCGGCTGGTATAATGGAAAGCCATGCATTACAGCAGCACTGTATTATCAATGTTAGCAATGGCTAATGCAGCAATAGCAAAAGGAATAAGAAAGGATTAATGATAATTCATTCAGCCATGTAGCACCGCATTGAGAAAGGTGAACAAAGGAGAAGAGAATGGAAATGAAAAATGAGGGAGAAATTGCAAGGCTCTGTTTATAAAATTGAGATGTGTCCCTTCCTTTGACCCCTGTTCCGATTTATAACTGCTGTCCCCTCCTTGCGGTTAAGGTAACGACTTCGGGCATGGCCCAGCTCCTATAGAACCTATCACTAAAATACCCCTAGAGAGGGCCTTCCTTCTTGCTTGACTGACTTTCAAAAAAAGCAATTTATATTATTAAACCATGTGGATTAATATGTATCATAGCACAGAATATTACTACCAAAAATAACAATACTAAATATAAGATTAAATTCTTTCTTTAGATCTTCACAATACTGTATCTCAATGATCAGCCTACTCTATGGTGTTAAGATTTCCAAAATATTATTATTGTTCTAGAAAAATTAAATACAAACAAATTTGTCACCAAACAACAATATGACGTTTCCTAGAAGTAATTCATGAGGATTTCCATACAAACATTTCCCTCATTCCCTTAATAAAGTATGTCTAAAATATGTAAAAGACACCAAATCCAAAACTGAAGCAGCAATTTTACAGCTCGTGTCCAAAAGAACATCATTTTTTCAATGATTGCCATTCCATCAAGCCAACACTATTCAAACCATACCAAATTGGTGTCAATTGTCCTGTTGTAAGATTCCCCACGAAAAATATAAACTTCCAAGAATTCCTAAAACCTTGTACTCAGTAATTTTACGGTAATAGGCAGCAGAGTCCAATCAGGTTAGGTCATTCTTCTTTTCTCTTACCAACCTGTTTTCAGATGAAAAGTTTGTTTGCATGGGCAGAGTTGACTTCAAAAGTCTTGATTGAACTCAAATTTTGACAATGGCATCCGGACCACAACCAAGCAAAACAAAATCTGGAATTGAACAAGGACACTTTAATAAACTACACAAAGTACAATGTGTAAAACAATAGCAAATGGCCTACCTCAAGCCGCCGATCTGGAGCCACATTTTCTGTTACCTTGGGTTCCTCTTCAACATTGACAACATTCTGCCGTGCATTCCCTCCATCAGAGCCCAAAAGAGCATTAAGAATTTGAACGAGACAACAGAAGATCCCAGAATCAAGGAGAGATTGTTTATCAATCGCCTGCAAACAATGTACAAACATTAATTATGGAGATACGAATAACAATAAGCTAAAAGTTATGTTTGTTATTCTCTATCCTTCATGTAAATTAAGAAAACCCCGTGATACGACTCATAAACAGTATAGCAAAGCAACTTAGCTTCAAAAAAAAGTGAGGACTGTTAGTTAGCAGCTTGATGAGCTTAATGGGACTCACAGCTTATTCAGTCAACTATACATGACTGTTTGGTAGTGGCTTAATGATATTGGAAGTGGCTTATTCAGTAAGCTTCTAGGGGGAGCTTTATGCAGAATGCCAAGTTTTTTTCCAAACCTGTCCCTCCCAATTAAAAAACATGCTCATTCAATCTATGAAAAAAACCCTCCTAAACAAAAACCTTTCCAATCCATACAGACAAATTAAGGCACACAGACATCTTTATCCATACAGCCATACAGGACTTAAGGTCTGTTCGTTAGCAGCTTAATGAGCTTAATGGGACTCACAGCTTATTGGGTCAGCTATACATGACTGTTTAGTAGTGGCTTGATGATTTAGAAAATGGCTTATTCAGTAAGCTTCTAGGAAGGGGAGCTTTATGCAGAAAGCCAAGTTTTTTACAAAATGTCCCTCCCAATCAAAAACACGCTTCTTCTGTCTATTAAAAACCCTTCCAAACAAAAAAATCCAATCTATACAGACAGATTAATCCACATAGACAACTTTATCCATACAGAACTTAATGGAAAACCAACCAAACAGCCCCTTAGCACTATAGAACCAAAAACAAGAATTATACAAGCCAATGAAGAACACGATGTGACTCAAAAATATTTATTTCTAACGAGCAAAGCGTACAGACATACCCCAGTAACGAGGAATTCCACTGCATGTAACAAATTTGAACCAGCCTGGATTCCATCCTGTAAAGATACAGGTATGCATGTAAGCACATATAAGAACCAAGTTTATAACTCCACCTTACAGAGCAAGAGGGGTGAAAAAGACAGAGAAAAAGAATGAAACCTTTGTAACCTCTGAGAAAAAATCTATCACATTTTGGATCTCCAAAGATCTTGCTTTGCTGCTACTTTTTAATTTTTCGATATCTGAGACAAATGCTCTACCCACGACAAAACAAAATATGTGTGTCTCTACTAACCTGTGGATCAAAACTTCACAAGGTTAACATATACCCAAAGCAAAAAAGGATAGCTTAAGGTGTTTAAAAATATTACATAAACTAAAAGCTCTAAAATGTAACATGCTTCTTTTAAAGTGAATGCTACAACAGATGCATGTAATAAAGCTAAGATCTCGACATAAAGATGATTGAAAATCCTTAAACTCTTTGCCAAAAAAGTTGTGTACACTATCAGGTGGACGTAGATGGCAGGTTATCACTGCATTCTCACAAGCATCCTAAACTGAGGCATCAAGCTTCTGAGGATGCTCCCATTTATCTTTGCGTGTGAAATCATGTCAAAAACAATCAACAAAGAGCACAAGTCAAGAAGACAGGTGACATTTATAACCTTATAGGAATATAGGTCATGCAGTCATTTATAATATTTACATATAATTAATGCATAGCTTCCCGACAGCAGAACGCCTCGGCAGCCAATGGGAGTCTTGAGGAGTCAGGCAGGTAGCACCCAAAAACATTTTTGCAGCATGCACGATAAGCACATATCACACTTGAAATGAATTAGGATAGTGACTATTGCCATTACATAATTTTACTATTTTTAACATGTAATTAAATACTTTGGAGTTTAAAATACTTTCTACTAAATGGTTCCAAATCCTCTAAATTGAAAACATATCAAAGATTTAAGTCTTGTATGGATAAAGTTGTGTGTGTGGATTAATCTGTCTGTATAGATTGGGAACATTTTTGTTTGGGAGGGTTTTTTCATAGATGGAAGAAGCATGCTTTTTAATTGGGAGGGGAAGGTTTGGAAAAAACTTGGCTTTTTGCATAAAGCTTCCCTCTAGACTCTTACTAAATAAGTCACTTTCTATATCATTAAGCCACTACCAAACAGTCAGGTATAGCTGACCGAATAAGCTATGAGTCCTATTAATCTCATTAAGCTGCTAACAAACAAGGCCCAACCCACTTGTTGGAGCTTCTCATGTTACCCTAACTGAGTAACTGGGCTAGTTGGGGTTAAAAGTCAACAATACATAATTGGTAAATTTAATTCCATTGGTTAATTGACAAAAGGAAGTATATGTTGAAATCATCCAGCAAAATCCAAAGAAACTAAAGCGAATAACTGCTAGCACTACGTCTAGAGTGAATGATACATATTGTACGTGGAGTAGTTGTTAATTTCAACTTGCGTCCTTAAATTCTTTGTTCTGCACTATTGGTCCCTCTAATGGGAATATCATATAATGGTCCATCCATCCTGTGTTGATTCCTACCGTTAAAATTGACAGGTGCCTCATACATGCCATTTGTTCAGGGGTATAATAGCCATTTCTTTGTATTACTTAGAGCCATATTACAAATCTCTTCAATTTCCCAGCCACCACCCCCATACTCCCTCCCCTCCACTCAGCCCCATGCACGAAGCTATCAAATTAATATCAGGATATCTCACAAAGAAATCTTATCATCCTTGCCATGACAGGTCACCTCTCTCCACCTGCCATCTTTTATACATTAAGAAAAAGGTTCATCAATTCAACAAACCCAAAATCAGAACCCCACAAAGAAAATGTCCTAAAATATCATATTTTGTTCCTCAGTCATAAAACCAAACCACAAACCCAGTATATTGCACTCAGGAGTACGGTCTGGATTGGGATGCATACAGACTTGTCCTCTACCCCAAAGAGTAGAACAACAGTTCCGAAAAGACCTCCGCTTTGCGAAAAATTGTAAACGAAAAAGGTTTTGACAAAAAGGTAAAGAGCTTGAGATCAGTTTAGAAAAAATGAAGATTTTGGAAAACAATAACTAAGAATAGTAAATAGTAAGCAACGAAAAAAAAAAGGGAATAGGCTATATTCTAATAAAATATTTCCAAATCTGAAATCGGCCATCTCTTTTTGTTTATAATCAGCTTAAACAATCACCTAAACCCTAAACCCTAAATGCACTTCCAAAAAAAGGCCTAATTTTCAAGATCTTGGTTCTATCTCTTCAAGAAACTCGTAGGTTGCCCTAGATATTAATGTTGGCCAGTGTTATAGGGTCTTGTTAGACTCGACAATTCTAATGAATTCTCCACAAAGTCAACATCCTCTGTTTGGCACTCACATCATCGTCTTCCACAACAGAAAGTTGATTCTTCTTCAATATCAGTAAGTTGTTAACTGATAAAGTCAAAGATGAAAAGATGGGACAAATAAACCCTATAGGCAGAAGATCATGTTAAGATGCCCGTTTACTGTGCAACATATGAGCTGCCAATTTAAACAAGCAAAAGGAAGCGTCTTGGGTAGAAGAATATGGGAGAGGGTCAGGGTCCATAGATAAGATTCAAATGCAGCAGGGCGGGATGTTTGACCATTTCACCATCATAAGGAATACACTTGTCCCATGCTCATTTGAGAAAAGGACTTGTTAATAAAATTTCATTAGAGGGGCAAGTAGTGCACAACAAATAAACTCAAGGTTTTAAAGAACGGAAACGAACCTTGAGGAGTTTTCTTCTTAGATACGTGAGACGTAAGCCCCAAATTACTTAGGGGCTGTTTATCAAACGTTTACCCGGGTAAGCGGTTACTAGTAAAATTCAACACTACAACTCACTTACCGGGTAAGATTTTAGTCCACCAAAATGGTATCATGTGCAACATTTACCCGGTAAGCGCTAACCGTGGTAAGAGCCTTCGCCATCACTTACCGGGTAAGGCTCTCGCATCTCGGTCCTTGCCTTCGTTCTTATCGAGTAAGATTCTTGGTCCACGCCATATTCATCCGGTAAAGTAATGTGACTTGGTAAGCGCTTACCCGGGTAAGTGTTTAGTAAACGGTCACTTATATTAAGTACGCAAAAACATATAGAATATTAATTAATAAATTTAAAAAACAAAATAAAGAAATATAATATAATATATTTATAGTAAAAGCATATAAAAATTGCTAAAAAACAAAATAAAACAAATACAAAACTTATTAAGTATAAAAATATATATTATATATCTATAACTAAAGCATATAAAAGATTAATCAAAAAATCAAAAGACACAATAATACAAATACAAAAGTTATTAATTATATATAATAATATATTTTATATATTTATAGTAAAAATATATGAAAGATATTAGAAAAAATAAAAAAATAGAACAGTTACTAACTAAATATAATAATATATTATACGTCTATTAGTAAAAATATAAACAGAAGTAATTAAAATTAATCAGAATATCGAGAGAGGGGGTAGGCAATAGAAAGAAGCTCCGTATTTCTTTGACTCACTTTTAGGGTATTATTCTTTTATTAATGAAAATTTCCTAACACTCAGTCGGACGCCTCTCCAACGCCCACCGCTTCAACGCCTTTGTCCACGTCTCAAATAACCGACACATATGATTCAACAGGCCCTTAAGAGATGGCACCTCATATACGTTTTCTGGATGCGTCGCCTTGAGGCACGCCTCAAGGTGTATGTCTCCAACATTTTCTAAACCCATGAATAAACTAGAGACAAAAAAGTGATACCTGACTCCTCCAGAGATGATTGTTATTCATATCAATTTTATAATGAGGTTTGGATCAATGAAAAACTGCATTTCAAAGATTTGATGTTATCATAAAGCCAAATGATAATCACCCTCTCATAACATAATTAACATTTAAATCTACAAGGTATTCATTCTATTGATAGTATGTATGGAGTTGTTCCACCATATAATGTTATAGAGTGAAACAAATGGAAGTGATAGAAGTAAATAAAGATCAATATAAGAGTATTAAAGAAAAGATAAATTACATTTATTTTCTAGGAGTTCATAATTAAATATATAAAACAGGGTATTAAGAAATCATGTCATCAAGGTAAAAACTTGCGTGGATATACTCATTACCTAGTCAGCTACACAACGCCTTGACACCTAGCTACTACTTGTACCTTGTTCATAAGTTTAACAAAAATTGGTTGTACCAGAAAATAACAAAGACAGATCAACGATCACGATAAAAAGCCACAAAGGAGACAATGGCAGAAAGTATAATAACAGCAGTCATTTTTTGTAATGTTACTTCACGAAATAAAAACACTTTGTTATATAATTAAACAATTATTTATGAATAGACAAACACATCACAAACAGAAGCTGTTATTTCCTTTGCACGTCAATTTTGCTATTAATATGTGAAAATTTGCTGTACATGGAATTAAGAAATATATTCCATTTTGTTAAGGAGGTCTGTCTTTGTATATCATAGAAATGTAGTAAGATATATTGAGCAGAGAGTATATCCAAGACCAACATATCCATGAATTTACTTCCAGATTAGGTGCATTTTCGCATTCCTAGAGATAAGTTTTAGTATACCAAGTCCCCAGCTAACTTGGTTAAGAGCTTCATTTAGGTGGCATGTCAAAGTTTCATTTAAAGTCATGTGCAATCACCAACTTTGCATGGTTTTACAAACAATTACACAATCCTTACTTAAAGTTCTTCTGTTAGAAAGCATATGCATACTTATACAAGTTCTTTGTCACGTAATAAAGTTTTATCTTTGCAAAATAAAGGATTTAGAAATAGAACCTGCATTCATGAAGAAGTAAATGAGATTTAGATTGGATTAGCACTCTTGGAAACAGAGAAGCATATGTGAACAGAATAAGGAATACCAAGGCAATATAAAAGGATAAAGGTAGTTAATTTCATACATGGTAATCATTTGTGCTGCATTAGAATGCTGATTTACTAATCTACAGAAGACATCGATAGTGACATTCAAGGCTTTTTCCTTCTCCTGTATAGATAAAATGAAACCATCAATGTTGTCAGCAGTTAATTCTAGATGTAAGTAACAAAACGACTTACAACTGTAACATGCACCAACCTTCTCTGAAGTCGATGTGCGGAACTCTTCCCAAGATCTCTTGAAGTCCAATTCCAGTTCATATTTTTCTCTGATTTTAACCAGGTAGAGAGGCATAAACATATGATTTACAAAGTGAAGCAAATGTATCCTGGGCTTTTTACATAGATAATCACTTTCAAGAAATTGGAACCACAAAAATTCACTTAAAAGTATGCATTTACTTATAATGGTCAAGCACACGCCATCACAAGCCAAAGTACAAGAACGCCTTCAACAAGTGTACTGGACTAAAATTAACGGAAAAATGTAAGCAACTTATGTACTGGTCATTTTGTGCATTTACCAGTTGCATTATGTAGGTCACGTGGAGTGAGAAGAAATAAAGATGCGGGCTTAACATGTGGTTATATGTGTGGAGACCTACAACTTATAAATTTTAAATGTTAAAGGAAATCTAACAAATACTTCCTTGGTCCCAAATAAATCAGTCTCTGGCTCAAAACATAAAAATCAAGGTCTTTATCGTTTTGATGAGTGAATCACCACAAGTCACTATTAATATATCATCTACGTCGCCTAACATATTAGAAGATCACCTTTTGATAGATTTATAGAAAATAAAGTCTATGTGAAATTTGATGCAATTAACACTTTTGGGTGACACTTGTTTGATTAACAAAAACTAATGACTAACCATCAGATCTACAATATTCATGGTCTATTGAGGACTGCACCAAAGCCAAGGGTTAAGGGATCTCATCTAAGAAAGATTGCAACGCATGATGAAAGGAAAAAAAATCCAATGCTTCCGTCCACTCAATATCGTTCCACCATCTTTTGGCATTAAAGACTACATCACTTGCATAGAAATGAAAATCCTAAATTAGTCTTGGAGAACAAAAAGACAGTAATGACCGAATCCCTCATAAAAATAACTAAATAGTTTTGCACCGGAAATAAGTGTAGCATAGACCAAAAACATCATAAATCCTGATTCCTAATGGTAAAATCTTGATTCCAACCATTCTAACGAATTGGTACATCAAAGAAAATTCAAACAATAAGCACTTCTTCTGCATTTGAGTTATGGTTTCCTTTATTTCTTTCCAAATTGAGTTAAATATTGCATTAATTGGTATGAGGATTCAATAAGCCTACTCCTTTATTATTCCCTTTCCATATATGATCTTGCACATGTCTACTACTATGTCACCAAATCAAATGGCAAACATAGCAATGATAAATCACCAAGCACGGTCACTCGCATTCTTTTTAAGTGATTAGTCTTCATTATCGGAGTTTATCCTGTCAACAATGTTACCCTCTCTATAGTAGAAACCTAAAATCCAGATGTAAGTGTCGAAAATATGATGAAACAGTTGCCTGTCTTAGAAGTGATCGCCCTTGAGGCATGCTAGAATGAAGCTTTGCTACACCACCATTCTTTAAATAGCAGAAAAACTACAAATCATCATGTGCTGCCATCTGCATTATTGTTGCCCCCACAGAAAAATACAAGGGAAAGATACAAGAATTCCAATAGGGAAGATTCGGAGGCCATTGGAAAGGCATCTTGAAACGTGAACTCTTGATGATCAACTAGCTATAAGCAACTTCAATTCTGTTTGCTGCTATCAACCAACGACATCCTTGGAACAACTATATATATGGACTTTTTATTTTCACATCTCTACTTTTTAAGTTCCATGCTTACATAGACAAGAAACAAGAGAACAATCCCTTGCACAAAAAATACAGAGTGATGATCAAAGTACTGCTGTAGAGGGGGTTGTATAACCAATCAACAGATTGTGAATTCTAGCAGGGGTCTATTCTTGGGACAACGCTTGAATGCTGTTATAGCAGATTTCTAGATAAGCCCAGATTCCCTAGAGTATTATAATATAAGGAAATTGTAGCCCTACAGTTCCTTGCATTTTACAATTGAATTGTATTTCCAGTAAAACCAAAGGAAGATAGATGAGTGAGTTTCACCCGTAGAGGACTCTACAGGATCCAAATCATTCGATATGGTTCTGTTAACTGATGATTTATTATTATACACTGGCAAAACATCAAGCTATTCAGATCCAAATAGCTAAGAGTCTATAAAAAAGGTGCTTAACGTTGAGGTTTGTTTCTTAAACCCTCAAGTTCCTAATGGTCAAACCTTTTAGTTCCCTTTCTTCACATTCCACTTCCAACACATTCTTCAACCACTTTAGTTGGTTCACTTCATATGGATTATTACATGAAGAACAACTCAATTCCAAAATACCACTTCAAGTTCTTAACAAGTAAAAATAAAAAAGCCTTATTGCAACAATGCATCTGTTTACATGATCAACAAGCATCATTTTCCATATGAATCTCTCCCGTGATCAAAAGAACAAAACAAAAGAAGAAGAAAAACTGACCTTGACAAGGGATCATTGTAGCTCGAAGAAGTGGCATTGTTACTATTGTGATCAAGATAGAAAGATGACGAGGAGGCAGACGACGTAGGCGCTGATAACCCTACCTTCTCTTTGAAGTCTTTAAGCAATGACACCCATTTCATCGTTTTAATCAACACTCGTCCGCCGAAAACATAAAATCAACACAACAAATCAATCAATTTAACGGGATCCGATTATATACTTCTAAATCCGGAGGATCTCCGAGCTCAAAAACCCTCCGTCAAATAGTTTCAAAATCGAAGTAAGCTGATCGATCGGAGTCAATTAGGGAAAAATATACCGAAATCAAGATCTTATAGGGCAATATTCCGTTCTTTTTTTGCTGATCTTTCTGCTAATTTATCCCCCAAATCAGTGAATCACACAATGCCACAATTTTCTCCTCTTTGATATTTTCTTTTTTCACTTTTGGTGCCCTAATCTTAAACCCTCTAAACTTCGAATGTTTTTTGGGAGGGCAACTCCGCGCCTTGTTTCTCGCCCCTGTGTTTCTTTTCTCTTCCTTTTCCGGCTTCTGTCTCCAAAATTTCAAATAAATACATATCTTTGCCAAACTAGGTTTCCATGCTTAAACGTGCAACTCTATCAAAAATATCCGCCACCACATTATTATTGTAAGCATATGCTTTTCTTTTTTATTACCAAAATACCCTTTTGACTCCTCGTTAGGGGTGCTTAAAATACCGACAAACTCAACCGATCCGGCCGACTCAGTCGAGATACCCTGACACAAGTGATACAAGATTAGGTCAAACCGCATCTATTTGGTTGGAATTGGTTAGGGTCTTTTGAACCCAACCAACACGATGAACCTCATATTTTTTTATATTATGGATTTAATATGGTTCTTAAGTCCTTGATTAATATATATATATATATATTAAGCATTAGACTAATCCGTAATTAGCTACATTCAAAATTATATAACAATTTCAACTGTAATAAGAAAGGTTTCTTATTTGCACGAAACTTCAGTTTTTTTTTTTTTTTTTTTTTGAGTTTGTAGCCTTTTTTTGTATGTTTACCATTTTGATTTCACTTCGTTTAAATATAAATATTTAACTAGATTGTAAAATGATATTCAAAGTTTCAACCCGACCAACCCATAGGGTTGGGTTGAATTGAGATTTTTCAAACCGCAAACAATGAGTTGAGGTTTTCAAATGCCTTCAACTCAGACAACCCAACCATTGTGCAGCCCTACTTCTCATCTGTCAGCATTAGGGCTGTAAAAAAACTTAATGAACACGAATAGACTTGTTTGTATTCGTTCGTTTAACTTAACCGAACGAATACAAACGGTAAATGGACGGGATTTTTTGCGTCCGTATTCATTTGTTAAGAAAATGTATATGTTTCTGTTCGTTAAGATATTAAACGAACAAACACAAATGGAAAAAAAAACAACCATCATTACTCGTCATCTCGTTACTAAAAAATAATATAACAAAATAAAAAATTGTGTAAACTTTAAAGATATAAAAGGAATTCTAAAAATTTAATTTAATTAATGATTTATTACCTATCAATGTCATAATATATAAATATAATTATATATATATAAAGTAAACTAAAGTTCTTGAATATAAATGAACGAATTGTATGACTGTTCATGTTTGTTCATTTAATTAAACAAATAAAAATGTGTTAAGGAACTTCCCGCCAAACGGTTTGTTGAAAGTTCGGTTTGTTACTGATAGTGAATACCCAAAAACCAATCATATGATGATTGTAATTTTGAGTTTTGTTTCATGTAATTAATAAATAAAAGGCATTGACCATTTTAATATGTTTGCATTATACTTTGTGTTTTAACTATTCATAATAAATAACCTTAGAATAATATATCTTAAATGTCTTTGGTTAAATATTATTTTGGATTTAAGGTTGAGATAATATGAAATATATAGTATTGAATCTGTATATGGATACAAGATGGAGATTTTGTGTATTGGATATGACTTGCTATGAAAACACTACATTGAATGTCATGCGAGTGCAATAAGTGTTTCCATGTGGTCAATGTACATGTAATTATTTGACTTCAGAACATAGAGTGTGTGGTGTGTGGGTGACGTATTTTGACATTTATTCTAATCATTCCGTAATTGGGTAACATAATGATTGTTGGATATTTTATGTATCACATGGTATAACTAGTATGTATCGAGATATGATTTGTCTCTACTTTTATGACGGGAGTGATGTCTATGGGTCATTTGATAAATATATACAAGGGAATTGCATGTGTTGCTTAGATAATGAATATGAGATATTATATGATATGTTTTATCAGTATATTATGGAATCAAGAAACTAGAGGCTGGAAATAACAAAATGACACATTTAATGTCTCGTGTTCAATATGGACATCAAGAACAAAAAAATCAAATTCGTAAACTAAAATTGACTACAAACCGATAACTTGTTATATCACTGATTATCGTCATTTGGACGACGATAATGTATTACTAGATATCGCTCATTGTGTTATAAATGTGAATACGAGATTTATATTTATTACCAACATGCCGACAATCCATTGTGTCACACGCTTTGAACATATTCGAATAAGGAGTTTCAATAATTAAAAGTGTTTAATTATTATATATGATTTGTATTGATCTAATCTGGTTAAAAAAATATATATTATCTACGTTGGACATAAAGTAGTTGACTATGGATGATATTCAAAAGAAGAGTGATGGTGTATGGTCACTCTTTCACTCAATTAAGGTGTAGAGATGGTGGTGGTCTTAGGCCATTGATAACTCTATTTTATAGAGTTATTACATGTTATTTATTTTAATATTGTTTCGTCAATTCAATTATTTTGCTTCCTAAAACTCCATTTTTGGTTATGTTTTATGATCATACAATGTGCATTTATAATTTTGAATCATTTTGTGCATTTTTGTCGAGAATTCATCCAGAGTGGGATCTGGGAGTGACCACTCCGTATCGTCAGATTCAACATGTGCAAAAAAGACAATTTTAGAGGTTGTTTAGCGATGAATAAGGAACCAAGCAACTGATTTAAAAAACTCCATACGTTTTTTTTTTCTACAGTCAGTAAAAATAAAACATAAATATATGGCAAAAAAATTTGTTTATTCAAAAGCCCTAGTTTAAAGAAAAGTGGGTTTAACCTTTGGTTCTACAGTTAGTAAAAATATGATTTATTGCAATCTTATACTTTATATTTTCTACTCATTCTTAAGTATGAACCAAACATCTTTTGAGACGTAGAAGTGAAAAGTACCCAAAATTTATGTAAATTATTGAGTAGTTTTATATATCAAACCTTTATCGTTTTGGTCACCTTTTGTTTGATAAAGCCCAATGATGCAAACAAGCTGATCTTTTAAAAGTGTTTAAAGTCTAGTTCTAGATCCAGATATGGGCATAACGTAATGACACGAGCTTGGGGTGATGCTAGGGAGTTTGAAAGAATTCTTATTAACGCCATCGAGAGTTGGATCTGCATAGTGAGAACTCCAACCACATGGAGTAAAGGCAACCAACCTAACGGAGTAAGCATTTGTCTTGGCATATTCCATGGAAACTCGAGAGGCTTCACGAGGGGTTATCATTAGGGGTGCTCAAAAACCCGATGAACCCGATGAACCCGACCAACCCAACCCGAATTTTTAAAAAAACACCCAACCCGAGGTAACCCGATGCATGATCGATAAAAAAATTAGTCAACCCGACCTTATTGGGTTGACATCGGGTCAGGCCCAAAAAAACCCGACCAACCCGACCTTAACTTTAGCTTTGAATTATAGATGACAATCATGACATGACCAACTTCAACGTCAAGAAAGCGAAAGCATCGGGGTTGGAAACGTCTAAAACTATTGTTGTTGATTGATGTATTATCATTTGGTTTGAATATTTTTATTGTAATATCTAAATATTTGATGAACTTGCATATTATCTTGAATAGTCGGTCGTATTTCAAAGGAAAGTTTCCTTTATTTTTATGTGATTTTACATTGTTTAAACACAACCCGATCAACCCGACCAACCCGATCAACCCGAACGGGTTGGGTTGGGTTGGGTTGAACTTTTGTTTGGGTTGGGTTGGGTTGAAAATTTTCAAACCGCCAACATTGGGTTGGGTTACTAAAACGGCTCCAAACCGATCAACCCGGGCCGTGAGCACCCCTAGTTATCATCAACAAAAAGATACAGTTAAGTATATAAGACTTTAACTAGAAACTACAAATATTAGTTGTGACCGAACCTGAACCTCTCAAAAGAGAGTATCTTTAATTCATTTTTTTTTAATTTGTAGTATAATAATATAATTTTTTATAAAGATAATAATTAAGTATTTAGTTAGAAGTCAATGACTATCCTAATTGCATTTTTTAGATTTTTTTATATTTAAAAGAAGATGTTTATTCTTTATTTGATTATGTTTATCTGCAGTTAGTTATCGAATTCAAACATTAAGCTTTAATAAGTTGTACTACGCACAATTTACGTATAATCTTAAATTTTTAGTAATATGCACTAATAAGCAGTACTTCATGCATTAAAAAAGTTTTTAAAAGTTTTTGTTAAATATTTTATAATACAGTATAGATATATATTCACGTATACACGTTATAAAAATGACAAATCATGAATTTACGAACGAATCATGCCGAATATTTATTAGAATAAAGATTAGGGTGTTATAACTATAAATTGTGTGTTTCTTTGCGGCTCACATTGTATTAATGGCTTTTTTTTTTGTATATACACAATACAACCCTCAATTTTATTTATGGGTCATTAAGTCACATTATGCTTTATTATCAAGTTAGTACATGTTCTTACTATGCAAACTTTATATTTTATTTAAAGACAAATTGTATGAAAAAATAATGTACTTTAACTTGATTTTTATTTTGAGTAACGTACTTTTAGAACTTCCATTTTGGTACATAAGATGTAAAATTTTAAATATTTAAGTACCCGGGTAACTGGTTGAAGTAGTAACCGGTTATCATGCTGATGTGGCGAGTGATGTGGTATTCAACTCAATATTATTTGTTGATGTGGTTAGTGACATGATTTTTTTAATCTAAAATTAGTCTTCAACCGATTACCCGGATACTTAAATGTTTAAAAGTTTACATTTTATGTACCAAAATAAAAGTTTTGAAAATACATTACCTAAAATAGGAATCAAGTTAAAGTATGTTATTTTTCCATGCAATTTGCCATTTATTTAATATAACTGGGTAACTTACAAGTTGTATACCTAAGGTCGCGCTTGGTTTGAAAGAATGGAATGGATTTGGAGGAATTTGCATTTTAAGTTCATTCAGATTTCATGTTTGGTTTGTTGGATTGTCCGGATTTGAAATCCTTCAAACATAAGATTTTGAAATCCTTAGGGAGTGCTCAGGATTTTATGGGATTTCGTATAATTGTATACAATAATGGTTTAGAAAATGCTAAAAACATTT